TTAGATATTAAAATAAGGACTTTTAAAGTTAAATATATAATCTTAATAGAAAGCTATATAAAGTTATAACCTATTATTAAATAATAAGAATATTAAAATCTCTATTAGAAATAATAATTACTTAAATAAACTAATTTAGAGATAAATAGATTAAAGAAATAGAAAAAATCTTAAAATATACTTTTATTCTTAGATTTATTATAAGCCTAAGCAGTTTTAGCTATATAGATATTCTTCTTAGTAGGTATTTTATAATACTTATAAGAAAGAAAAGATAGTAAAAGTAAAGCTTAAAGAATAAGGATAAAGTATATAGACTTAGAAATCTAAATATAAGGAAATTTATAATAAAGTATATAGTTATAAGAAAAAAAGAAGTATAAGTTTAGAGGTAGATAACTTAATATTCTAATAAATAAAATAAAGTATAGTAGGAGTACTAAATTACCTATTTAGTAATATATTTAAAAATACCTATATTATAAACTTAGTACCTATAGTAGAAATAAATAAAAAAAAAAGAAATTATAAAAAAATAAGAGCTATACTTTTATATATCTAAATTAAATATATATATAACCTATAATAAAGCTAAGGAAAGTATAAATAATACTTCTATATCCTTAGATTTAAATAATCTGATTTAAATTATTATATATATTAATTTTAAGTTATAATCTCTTATAGATCTCTATAAGTATATATTAAGATTATTAAAACTCTATTTAGTTATTAAATTAAATATCTAACTAAGATCTATTAAACTTTTAATAATCTGGAGGGTATATTATATAGTAGTATTAAAATTATAATAAGGGTTTAATTATTTAACTCTATACTTATAATATATCTACCCTATATAAGGAATTAACTTATAAATATATAATAAAAAGCTTAGAAACTTATAGTTAAAAATAGTAGGGATTAGAAATAGATTTATAGTTATATATCTATTATATATAGTTAATTAAATAAATATTATTAGTATAAATAGTATAGGGTTTAGTAAGCTTACTAATAAAGCTTAATAGATATTTTAAATATCTATAAAGTTCTTATTCTGCAGTTTCTATACTCTAACTTAGTCCTAGTTTTATACTCCTCTGTAAAAAGATATTATCTTTGAAATCCTATACTATTTTTCTAGATGTGCTTATGAATTCCAGATCATTCCAAACCAATTAGGCTAAATGGACTTTTGCTATGCGAGTGACTTTGACACGCCCGAGCTCTGTACTTTACTAGATCTAAATGTGAATGGTTGATATGATGAATATTGCTCCAAGTGATCACCTTCACTTCGATGGTCTACACTTCCAGCAGTATGATTTTGTGTAAAGGATCGGAGCCGGATGATCAGAAATACATGCAGCGTTATCGTTATGTCACTACGTGATTGTAAGCAGGCAATCTTAACTCTTTTTACTTTCAGACAGTACATTGGTTTTTGTCTTCAAATGAAGGGTTTTGATCAGCCATTCTCCATGGAAAGTGAACCAATCCCCTACAGTCCTCCATCTTCCTTCCCTCCGGATGTCGTATGAGCAGGATAAGGCGAGACGGGCGGCACCGCCTGGAAGTAATGATAATCTTCAATCACAAAGCTCTTCCCAACAACTTCGATTTCCACTTTCCATTTCAAAATGTGAACGTTGCGGATTATATGAGTATCAAAGCTCGGCCTTAAGTGATTCGCGTGGAAATTCATCTCCTTCTCATACGGAATTTGGAACTTTACCGCATTGCCCAGATCGACCGCGGGCGTCGAAGCCTCGTCACAGGGTACCTCCAATTCATAGCCAAGACGCATCAAGGCAAGATTGGTGTTGATGATCTTGTTCCTGTCCCAGAACCTGCCCACCCCGGAATTCATCGGCCCCATGACCGTCACGCGGGTAATGACCTCGAGAGCGAAGCGCTTTACGACAATCTTTGGCGGTAACTTGCCGAGGCTCTCATGTGACTTGTTCCACAGCGGGTTGGCTTTCATCTGGAAGGGAACAAAATACGGGTTTCCCAGTTGAATCAGTTTGGGGACAGCAATTATGAGCTGGAAAGTGAAGGTCGGGGTCGAGCGGGAGCTGAACAGGCCCTTCATCTTCTGCGAAGTGGAAAGCTTGGTGTTCTCTTTCCCTGGGATCAATCTTTGTGAAGATACAGATAGCTCTTTCTGACAAAAATTGAATGGCGTAGACGTCAACGGATCTCCAGCGCGGAAATATTCTATAATGATTGGGAGTACGGCCTTGGCCTTGCCGCTCTTCCCTTGCCCCTCCAGTTCCATTTCCGCTTCAAGGGTATACTCGATGACCGCTTTCCGGTCCGAGTCATACGTCCCATCGAAGGTCGGTGGCACTATCGCCGTCGTGCCATCATCGTTTCGCAGTGGGAAAAAGTACTTCTTGGGGTTTGCGTCTGCAGGGAGGCACGCCGAGTCAATGTGCGTTGGAATATTCAATGTAAAGGGCCACTCCTGGCGCAGCTGTGCGGAAGGCAAGTGAACCGGCCCATCATGGACAATTTGGCTCTGGTCCAAGATTTGCATTTGCCCATTGAACTGCGGAATCTTGGTGCGCACTTGGCCATTAAGCCTCAGTTTCAGTGTGGCGTGATCGCAGGCAACAGGAGGCTTCCGGTAGATTCGCCCGGTGGCCACATCTCCCGGTCGGTGAGGGTGAGAGGCATCTAACTCAATACTCAGTATCGAGTTGGTGGAGTCTGACTTGAACAAGTCCATGGTAGCTAGCCGGGCATAGTTAGTAGACTGCAGTAGGTGTAATATCGGTGGGAAATCGAGTAACCGACCGAATCGGCAACGACCATAGGGGACAGATGAAATATTATCTCTGAAAAGAGGGGTTTAGGTAGTCAAGAAGATAGATTAAAAGCCTAAAATCAACCTTCAGATCATGCATGACAGCTTCGGCAAACCGGCACGTTTATCGATCAGCCGCAATGCAACCAAAAGCAAGGATCTCTGGCTCTCGCTTACCTTCGAGCGGGGTAATCGACAGGATGGTCTTAGCCATGTGCCCAATTTGCCTCTGTTCCAGTCACATGGCTTTAATATTGCCAGTGAATCATGGGCTATACAATCTTGGTCTCTAGCTTGCCTCAATTGGTGTCTTCCATTATGAAAAAGGAGGTGATCGATGCTGGGGTCAATATCATACGGGTTCCAGGCGGTTGTTTGGTAATTTTGGATAATTAGTAACCATGAAGTATATTCAAGAATTGCTCCTTTTGATAATGACTAAGTAGAAAATCTATTCAAAATCTCCGTCATCATGATTAGTTCTTTTATGAGCCTTCCTGTATCCAATAGCAGCCGGCTGTCACTACGATACTCCCTTCTTAACGAGTTTGATGCAAAGTAGCTCCCCAGATCTATTTATTATTTCCTGCTTCGTCCCGTTAACTATTTCAATCATGTTTGCTATGGCCTTTCTAATCCCTCCCGCTCCTCTACTGTAAGTTCACTTTTGGCATGCCCAATTTTGATAAAGGGCAGAATGAGGCACGATACACCTGACAACCCGACAGCGAACCAGAATGCAACCTGATAGTTCTTCTGCCGGCTGAGATGGCTGGTATGTGAGACTGCTACTTCCCCAAATCCGAGAAAGAAGCTTACACCTAAGAATAAGAGGCTATTGATGAAAGCTCCTGCAAGCCCCTGCTGATGTCCTGGCAGGTTCGTTGTGATGAAGACATTGCTAACTGTGAAAGCAATGTCGATACCAATCGTTGCGGCAATCATGGACGGCATCACCCAGGCCCAGTAGTTCGGATCTGCAGGCATCAGGGCAAATAGTAAGACACATACAAGAGTCCCTACACCAGAAAGGCACAGAAGCACTGTTCCATGCAGACGGTGCAAGACCATACCTCCCACCGTCCCAATGAATAGACCGCCGATAATCATCGGTAGGAACCACACAGCGGTCACCAGTGGCGACTTGCCGACAACAAGCTCAAGGTAGAAGCTGCTGTAGAGAAGAAAGATGCCAAAGGTGCCGTAGAGACCAAATTGTGCCACCGCGAGTGGCTTAATACCCTTTGTACGGAACAGCTCAGCAGGCAAGAGCGGCTTTGCGGCAACGTACCCTTCGACGTACACAGCCGCGGCAAGAAATCCGACACCAAGAATCAGTGTAACAATGATGCGAGGACTTGCCCATCCGCTTGGAGCCTGAGAGCTGTCGGTAATAGCGTATACCAAGAGGATGAGGCCAGGCACGATCGTGGCCACACCCAGCCAATCCATCTGGATGCCGGATGGTGGTGTGCGATGAAAGTCATTCGGAATGGTAGTGACTCCCGCCAAACAGAAAATACCCAGCATAATAGATCCTAGGTAAAAGTACCATCGCCAGGTCAGGTATTCGCCTGTGATGCCACCAAATAGGATACCGAAAAAGAATCCAAGCGGCGCAAAGGCACCGTACAGAGCAAATACGCGATTCTTGCGCGGTCCTGGTCGGTAGATTTTGCCGAGAAGAGCAATGCTCGCGGGGAGATAGGCCGCTGGCCCGAGTCCTGCAAGTGCACGACAGACTATGAGCATGATATAGTTCTGGCTAAAGCCAGCAACGAGGTTCCAGATGAGGAACCAGACCATGCCAGTATTGAAGAGAGCGTAGCCTCCATACATATCGCCGATGCGGCCGAAGGGCAATAGAAATGCCCCTGTCACAAGAGAGAATACACTCGAAGGCCATGTCTGAGAGCCTGCAGGGATCTCCAGCTCCTGTGTGATGGGTGGCAGAATGATGTGAAACCCGGATATGAAGAACTCCTAGATCCAAACCCGACATCAGCTCGACTGTAGCGAAACCGACATAAGTCGTAGGAATTTATAACCTACCGCCATCAGCATACACCCCAAGACTGAAACACAGAACCCCATCTCCGACCAAATGTTTCGGAACTCTTTGGGCCTCTGTCGACTAAGCTTTTCGATCTCCATCTCGGGTGTCAGGTCTCTGTGGCCCAGTTCGGGCTCGGATCCGATTGCCCCCATGGCGATTGAGGGGACCACGACGGTTGCTTCACTGGCTGAACTAGTAAATAGTCTCTTGGCTTTCACGATACTTCAGAAGGACAGGAGAGTTTCCAATGTTTAAATATAAATGCACGGCCCCGCTGAATACGTCAAATTAAGCTTGGATGAGGCTATCCCTCAGCTTGGAAATGCCATCCTCGTGACAGATCCCTTGCCACGATGCAGCATCCGGGCCGGATGTAGAAAAAGCAGGACATCGCCCCATTTATTCACGGGATCTGAAGACAGGCCACGGTGCTTTCCAAACGCTGCTTGGTTTGCCATTGGATCCGTCGAAATTAGTATTGGCCGGATCCACTGACAGGGCTTTGAGGATGGCGAAGTCGGATCTCCGCGGGCCCCGGAATCAGCATACATAATAGTATCATGATTCCCCTTTAAACGAGAGGTGAACAAGTCTTAAAATCTCTCGTTTTTCACTTCAGGAGAACCGTAGATGTATATCTCTTCCCTTCCCCAGATCCCGTGCCACAAGCAACAGTCACTTCAACTCATGGTTGAAGGATTCTTGTTCCGTTGCTAACGATTACGTGGTCAATTGGTCGACAAGGGACTTTGCTTGGCCGTGCTGGAAAATCGTTTGATCTGACCCAGCAGGATTTTCTTTTTTTCGTAATCGAATGCTGGAGCCTGGTGCAGAGGCCTGCTCTATATTTGCCTCTGTTATAAAGAAAATCAATCTCGGTATTGCGGTTCCGACGTCCGAGCGAGTGGTCAGGGGTCAATGTCATCATCCGTGATCGGATCAAGGGACATCTTAGATCCGAAGGCTCTCGGCAACTCTCTATGCTGGCGGAGAGCATCACATAACTCGCCCGTCTGTCATGACGAGAACATGAGATTTTAGCTTCATGAACTCCGCAAATCGATGATACGGACGATCGGAAGTTGATTAGAGTATACGTACAAGAGCTTGTTAGAGTTGTCCAGATGGAATTATAAAAGGGCTCGGTCATACACTACCCTGTACGGAGTAAATCTCAGTCGCTTAATCATTTGACATTTTATTGCTTTTGCAAGCATTTTAATATTACAATCATGGCTCAAACCCCAGGCAATCCAGCGAAACCTCTTCCATTCCGAACAATTGCGGGTGTGAATGTTGTCGACACACAGATTGTCCGCGATGCCCAGCAGTTTGCTCGAGAGCACACCACAGACTGGGTTTATCGCCATGTGATGCGTACTTGGCTCTTTGGCGTCCAGATAATCAACCACAACCCAATACTTCAACAGGGGGTGGATCTGGAGGCTCATGCGATCGCTTCCCTGCTCCACGACTTAGGGTGGCACCAGACTTCAACTTCATCCTTTGTCAGTAACGATAAACGTTTCGAGGTAGACGGCGCCATTGCCGCCCGGGAGTTCATCCGGAACCATCAGGACGGGAAGCTCTGGGATGAGCATAGAGTCCAGCGTGTGTGGGATGCCATTGCGCTGCATACACAACCCTCAATTGCCGAGTATAAGGAGCTCGATGTCAAGGTGACAGGCAATGGAGTGCTCGCGGACTTTGCCGGGCCGATATACGGCGTGACAAAGTCGGAGTACGATGCAGTGGTGCAAGAATTTCCCAACGAAGACTTCTTGGAGGGGGTGAATGATACCATCGTTTGGCTTTGCAAGACTAAGCCCCAGACAACCGTTGGTAAGTCAGATGCAATGGCAACGAGAATATAACCTAGCATACTAAAGGCGTTCCAGATACCTGGCAGCAGCGTTGGGGCGAGCACCATGTTGAAAACTACCCACCCAAGGGCGTGTCGTTCTGGGACCTTGTACACAGGTGAGGGTGAGAAGAAGAGTTGGGAGAGTTAGGTGTTTCGTATGTTTTTTTGGGGTCACCGGGAAATGGTAACCATAATTACGTTATATCATTTGCATATCACCCAGTTGCCAAGAATGGAGGATAAGGCAGGATTTGAAAACGTATATTTATGATGGTAGTTCCTGAAAATGTCAACAAGGATGTCCGCATGGTCCCCCATGGCGGCTCATCCTCCCGTATGCTAATGTCTCGCAATGATGCCGAGTTCCAAACGCCCGTGCTGTCGCATGCCGGATCATGGCCCTCGTCTAAGAAGAAAGTAATAACAAATGGCTCGCGCTGAAGCTTGCTTCATGATCTGTACTAAAGAAAAAAAAGGGGGCACACCGACCCCAACCACTTTTCGCGGACTGTTATATTCACAGCATGTCGAGTCGAGTCCATCAAGACGAAGCCTCCGCGCTGCGCCAGGAGCTCTCGTACTCTGCCTTCTTGGGCTTCTGCTTGGGCAGATCCCACAGCTTCTCCTCGCTCTCCGTTGAGGGCAGCCGCTCCATCACGCCGGTATTCACGCTCGGTCCAGGTTTGGGCCGCGACACGCCGCTACTCAGCTCGACGCCGCCGCTGCGCGTGCCGCGGGAGTCCTTGGTCGAGTCGCCGTAGGCCAGCGACTGGCCCTGGCCGGCGCCGAGCTTGCCCTCGCGCCAGCACTTGTAGAAGGCCTTGAGGGCGGGCATGTTGGCTGCGAGTATGCCCAGATCGATCTCGACGGCGGACATCATGACCATCTTGCCGAGGGACCAGGAGAAGTCGGGCGACCGGGCGAACTCCATGAGGATGATTGCTCGGAGACCGCCTGCCAGGACGGCCGAGCCTCCGGTGGTGATGACGCTGATGACGGCGACTTTTCGTTTGAGGGTCATCTGGAGGCTCATGATGGTGGGAATAGGAAGAATCAAGATGCAGACGTCGACCAAGAAGATCTAGAAACGATGCGAGATTAGCAAGAAGGGGCGCGACTTCGAAGAGAGAGGTTAGTGCTCGAGCAGACACAGGCAGGCAACTTACCAAAGTAAAGGGAAAGAAATATGTACTAAATCTCTGTTAGTAAGTCATCCTTCAATCGGGAATAATCATATTGTTTACTGACATTTTTGCGTTGATGCACTTGACGTCAGGGTGACGCTCGGGATAGTAGAAGGCTTCGAGTGGCAAACATTGGAGGCCGTAGAAGAGCAAAATGGCGATGGTGCCGAGACTGTTGAGCGCAATGACTGCCCACAAGCTCCAGACGAAGGCCCTGGTCTGGGACAGGCGGAAAAAGAAGAGCAGGAAGCACATCTTGACGAGGAATTGCAGGGTGACATAGTAGAACTCTTCGGCCAGCAGCCCCTATTGTATACTGTCAGAAAGTTGAGGGTGCAGAGAGATTCGATGACATCTACCTTGAGAAGATGGGTGACATTCCCAGGGTCTTCTGCTATGACTTGATCAAGGTGTCTGTTGAGATGGAGAGTGATTAGCTTATGGTACTCCTGAAAGAGGGGCAAAGTCATCAGTGCACTCACAAACCGGCACCTTTCATCAAAAAGAATGTGAGTAGACCTTCTTGGCCAGGAAAGAGGACCTAGAAGAAGTCAGCATTCAGTGCATTGTGCATTGGGGTGCGTATTCTGGTGTCTAAACGCACAAGCATGCTCGTCATCACCCAATCATCCCAACCAAACGACTTCATCGACACTCCACGGACCCAAATGCGCATCGGAATCGTAATGTAGGTTATGACAAAGAGGATCGAGATGATCGTGTGAGCGAGGGGGCGCATGTCATTCATCCTCGCGGTAGGTGTCGTTTGCGACGACAACGGCTGAAGCACATCTGACGAGTATCAAGTGTGGATGGAGTGGAAGGAAACATTTAAGAGTCCCTGAATCGAGACGATGAAAAAGCAAATGTCTGCAGCAGCAGAGTTTGGCCCTGCCAAGCCCCCATGCTTTCCCCAAGGCGGCGATTGATCTTCCTCGCTAATCCCCTTGGTTGTCGGACATTAAATGGAGAAGGGGGTTCGCGGCCCAGGGAGTTGGATCCTGGACTCGCCGCATCATCTACTATATTACAGTGCATATATATATCCGCCGTCATCACTAGTGTAGGTAGCTTGAGAGCTAGCTGGGTCATGATGGCGAGAATCTGCCGCCTACAGAGGGCTCAAGGATCGCGGACGTTTGCCTCAGCCCCATATAGTAAGAACGTGGAAATCAGACTGTCCTTCTAGTCGTAGTGGGAGATACATTAATACAAGATCGACTAAATACTTCCTTGTTGGAGTAAGTTCATCAGCAATTAATACTTCTCTGGCTATATAAACAACATGAAGAAAGAGGTATTGCCATCTGGTAGCAAAACTGGGCCGACTTGCACTTGTATAAAGCTAACATTACTGAAAATTTGTGATCCCCGGATGTACAACGGCTACAAGGTGAGGGGGAGGAAGCGAGTGCAAGAACAAAGGAAAGGATATATGTACTAGGCATTGCTACTCTTGAGAGTATCCAGTACCTGAATTGGGTTCAGTCTCAAAATAACGGAAATGTGGGTTTGTATGAGACAATTTCTACCCACCCATGGCCTGGATGCATGTCACCAGAGAGCACCCAAACTGGAGGGAGTGCTGATCAGTTACCCACACTTGGGCGCAAGCCGGTTTGCTAGATTCATGATAAATGCCCAAGGGTCAAGGGTCTGACAACGGTGTGCACGGTTCCGGAAGCGACATGATTCGCAGCATCATTCCCCTTTCTATTTCCGATCTGATATGTGACGGACGGATGAACAACTCCGCATCCTCTCAAGCAGTGCGCCTGTCAATGTCAGTTTTGAAAGGGTTCGCCGTCCTTCTTGCAAGCCGTTGAGGTCCAAGCGCGACACTAAAGCGCGGCATTCCCAAAGGAATAAATTATGAAGATTATGCAGACTTATTTAGCGGTTGGTTGTTGGTTGTTGGTCGCCCAGTCCATGTAAGCAGTGGACCCCCTTTAGCAAGCATGAAAACATGGCACGGAATCACGGAACCGAACATGAATCGCAGGACTTCCAATCATCTCACGGGAAATATCTTCGGTTACGGGGAGGCAGGGATGGCAGCCGCAGCGGAAAGGGCGCAAAACCGACCAGAAACGGTTCTGGGGAAGCCAGCCGGCTGGACACTGAGCTCAACCAAGCTGGTTCCCTCGCTTTGGGCTGCCCAAGACAGACACTACCCTCGCACTAACTGGCAAGCGGACCGCGGGTGCTGGCTCATGCATCCAAGGGAGCTATTGCGTCTCCTCCCTCGCGCATTAGGCACGTCAGCCTCACCCACTCGAGGGATAATCGCGGTAGTCGAGGGACCCGGACGCATGTTTAGCTCCGCTCGAGCGTGTTTTCAGGTTATTTAGTCACCGTTTAGTGTGCAACATCCAGTCCAAAGATCCTTGCCAGAACCGCCGATCACTGACCCTCGACGCTGGGTTGCATCTTGGCCAATGGCGTTGTTCCCAAAAGCAATATGCCACGAGGGTCCTGCATTGCCTTGAGCAAATCCGTAGCCCCCCACGGCCCTAATACCAGCCGTTCTCCCGCATCTTCGCTTGCCATTACGCGACTGCAACCTCTCTCCTGAAAAAAAGCAAGAAGAGCAGCTCTGCAGAGATGGAATCCGCGCTTCAGTTAGCGCTGAAATCGTCCTGGCAGGCGACTGCCGGGGTCTCAGCCCTCCTCGCGGTCGTGTCTCACCATGTCGTCTTCCGTCCGTACGAGATTGACGGCGCTGCCTGGGAGCTCGTCTTTGGCTACATTAGCTCCTGCGTGGCGCTATTCTCCCTCTACATCCTGGTGGCCGGCTACAGCTTCCTCACGGCTGTCGGCCGCACGCTCCTCGTCTCGAGCTCGTACAATGTCACCCTCTTGATCAGCATCCTTGTCTACAGGGCCTTCTTCCACCGGCTCCGTGGCTTCCCCGGTCCTTTCAATGCTCGGCTCTCCCGCTTCTACGCCTTCAGCAAGGTCGCCAAGACCGTTCGGGGCTGCGAGGATGTCCAGAAGCTGCACGAGCAGTATGGCGACTTTGTCCGAATTGGTATGTATACGCGGCCAGTGATGAAGTGGCTCGGGTATTGACTGATTCGTGTAAAGGACCCCGCGAGATATCAATCAACAGGCCCGGTGCCATCCGTCCTATCTACGAGCCGCCCACGCGAACCACTCGATCCCCATGGTACGCCCAAGTATCCAACGATGTGACCAAAATCTCGATCAACTCGACTCGAGTCCTCAAGGTTCATAAGCAGCGCAAGAAGGGTTGGGAGAGGGGACTCGGATCACGAGGTATGCATTGGCCCCAATGCTTGCTCCGCTGCATACATTATATATGTATACATAGATGCTAACATCAATGGGATCCCAGCTATGGCCGTCTACGAGCCTCGCGTAGCTTCCAAGGTCGATTCCTTGCTGGGCAGACTCGCCGCACATGCTGGCAACCCGATCGACATGACCAAGTATATCATGTTCTTTGGCTTTGATGTTATGGGTGACATTGGTAAGCTCTATTTACTCTATCAAAACTCCGCTTAGGCAAGCTGATTAACCAATTGCATCAGGTCTCTCCAAGGACTTCCACATGGTCGAGCGAGAGGTCGAGGATCCCGCTATCCAAGGTGTCCATGAGAGTATGTTTGCTATTGGTGTCTTTGGTACCGTCCCTTGGCTTCTATCCATGCTTGGCAAGATTCCAGGCGCGGCGGGGGGATACAACAAGTACACCAAGTGGTGCCACGATGAGCTTCAAGAAAAGCGTCAGGTATACATCTTTCCTTGAGCAATCATTCCAATCCTCGCTGACCGTGTGCATAAGATCCTACTGAGCGAGATGGCGTCCCTCAAAGATCAAGAGCCCCGAGACATCATGACATGGCTTCTCAAGGCCAAGGAGCAGGGAGATCCATGTGCTCCTCCCGGTGATCTGGCCATAGAAGAAGATGCTCGACTACTCATTATTGCCGGCAGGTAGGTCGAGCCATGATTCCATGATGAGGGATCAATCAGAGTTTCTAACTGTCTTTTTCTTTCCACAGCGATACCGTAGCTTCTGCTATCACTAATGCGTAAGTATCTTATGATCGTTGATCACTTGCCAAGTTTTCTTTCTCATGACTTAGGCTAATAATTGCGCAGTCTATTCTACCTTACCAAGAACCAGACTGTCTACAAGACCCTCCAAGCGACTCTTGCAAAGGAATTCCCCGGAGGTGACAGCGACTGGACCTACGAGAAGGCGCGGAACATCCCCTACCTCGACTGGGTCATCCAGGAGACTCTCCGTCTGCGCCCTTCTGTACCCGGTGGCCTGGCCCGTGTCACTCCTCCCGAGGGTCTCATGGTAGACGGAACCTTCATCCCCGGCGATACAGTGACCTCAGTGCCAACTTACACCATCCAGCGCGACGAGCGCTACTGGCCCGACGCCCTGTCATTCAAGCCAGAGCGCTGGGAGGGTCTGTCTACCGAGAAGGCTCCTTGGCTCCCCTTCACCAGGGGCCAGTGGGCTTGTTCCGGCAGGGCGGTCGCCATGATGGAGATGCGCATGGTCCTTGGCCGTATTGCACTCCACTATGATCTCTCATTCCCACCCCCGGTCACGCCTGAGACTGCTGAGTTTGTCTTCCAGGACACCTTTACTCAGACTCTGCCTCCTCTCCCTCTCGTGTTTACTCCCAGAACAGACTAATTTTCCCTGGCGGCGTCGGGATGCGTGTTGTAAGGAGCTTGTCATACTTGTTCATTTCTCGTGCGGATGACTTTGTCTTCCTCATAGATGTGATGACAACGCTTCAGTGATCAGCAATCTAGGGACCGGGAGAAGAAGTGACATAATAATGTAGAATACAAGTGCACACAGGGACAGATGTAAATACTTTCCATAATGTCCATCAATTTGTGTCTAACCTACACCCCTCTGACCAACTCAAGCCTGTTGAGGATTCGCCCTGCTCCCAGTCCAATAGAAATGAAACAATTAATCCATACAGAGCAATCCACCAGATAATTATAAAATGACCTCTGCTCCTGGTAGACCTGATGGCATCGCTTCAGTTTTGAGAATTCTCGTCCCATGATGGCTCACTTATGACCTACCCTACACCCCTACACCTCCCCCCGACCCGTCATGCATGCATCTCGTCTGGATGTCGTGCTCTGATAGCGCTAAAGGTTCATCTGCCAAACCATGCATACAAAATCCTAAAATCCCTCGTTGATTTTCTGCAGCCGCTCCAGCACTCCCTCTCGAAAAATATCCTGCAGCCTCCGGTGGCGAGAGGCCGCCTTCTCCCCACGATAAACGGGAGACTCGATCTCGGTAGCGCGAAGGAGGAGCTGGACAATGTCGCGGTAAAGGTCGCCACAGAGAGCGGCCACCCTCTGCAGAAATCTAGATTCTACAAAGTGTGATGAAGTCAGGAGCTCGATGCCGCCCTCTAGTGCATTTGGCTCGATTTCTCGTCCATCGTCGATGATCGTGGCACGAATGGAGCGTAATTTTTCGGCAGTGAGAGTACCCACGTTCTCAATGTTTAGAATGCTTTCGATAGGTGACCAGTACGCAATCTCCAAGAATACGATACCTAAGCTGTAGAGATCATACGCTTTGCCGTATGCGCCAGCGTTTTCCCCTCCTTGGACCAACGGGTGTCGATACATGTCCACTTCTGGTTCAAATCTTGCCTTGTCTGTTAGCTCTGACATCTCGCTCGGGCGTGAGAGTTCGAAGCCTGTGATGTAGGGCTGGCTGAGATCCGCTGTCTTCAGGTTTGAGCTAACGAGGAGGATATTCCGGCTTCGAAGGCCTTTGTGCAGCCAGCCCACGTTGTGGAAATTCCCCAGAGACGTTGCTAATGTGAGGCTCAGTGCAGCGCGTCGTGAGAGAGAAGGCATCGGCACTGCAGCTAGGAGGTCCCGGAGGCTGAAAATGGTCACCGGGGAATGTATCTCATCAGGGGCCTTGAGAACCAATTTGAAGATTGGTTGGCTGCCCTTGTCATGTATTCTGATGTATCCCTGACAATGGGGGGATCGAAAATCCTCGGGCAGCGCAATGCTAAGCAGCCTAGCGAGCAAGTAAACTCTATGGTGAATCAGAGCTCCGTCTGGGTTCCTTTCCAACAAAACAGGTGAATAGTCAACTGACTCTAGCCACACGTTCTGTTTGCTCAACGATATGATTTGCCGCGAGTCAGTAATTTCTCCGGGTGCAAACGAATCTGTGATATTGAAGTCGTTGTCAAGCCTGGCCGGGGTAGTGCCTAAATCGGACTCGCCATCCTGGCTGACTTCCAACCGATGAATTTTGATGTTTGCCAATTGCCTCATGGTTATCATACGTCTCATGCTGGCTTGTACTTTGACTGTCGCAGCAGGAAATTCAAGCGCTTCTGTTGTGGTCGGGGTCCAGCGAACCACTTGATTCTGATAAGCCACGTGCGTCAATGCTTGAACGATGGCTTTCAATCCATCGACGTCGTTTCGCATTTGAAGCATCTCGAGATAGCTCGCTTCCGTCGCCTTTTCGATCTTCCGCGCCCGCGCGTCATCAAGAAACGCAATGAGGTATGTGTTGATCTCGGATAGCTTCCTCACAAGCTCAATGAACTTGTCTTGGTCAAATGCAGCCCAGACCAGACGCCTTGGCTCGGTGACTATTTTACGAAGTTTCGCGGCTCTCTTTTTCGCATTTTCGATGATGGAGCCTACCTCTGACGACTTTGCTTCTTCTTTGATGGTTGATACTAGGTTGATACTTTCCACTCTTGTTTTCGTGTCATGCAGGAGGTCCGTTAAGCTTGGCGGCGAGGCGCTTTCACTAGACTCATCGTGTGGCGTTAGGGAAACATATCTCCCATTCACCTGCTGAAACTTCTCGAATAGCGTCTTCAATTCTAGCACAGCTCCCTGAATCGTTGAGGAATGGGCGGACAAGGACCGGTTAAGATCTGCGTCGGCTGATAAGAATCCGACTTCTTCTGCAAAGTTAAGAAATCGTTGTTGCTCCATTTGTAGCCGGACCTGTAGAAACCTCTGAGTCTCGGGCATATGCGACGCTTCGGCAAACAACTTATAAACTATGAACCGTCAACTAGGGCACCTATGGGACTTGTGTATGGATTCTTTCGCATACATTTAATACATTCATCGACCGCTTGTAGAGTTAATGACCCAGTGCCAAGGGCTAGCTCGGCCACACCTAGTGGATCAACCATGCTGAGTGGGTGTGGGAGGGAATTGCACAATTGATGTGTTGTGCAGGATTAAATAAACCGGTCAGGACGCTTTGGGGCGGTGACTTTATAGGGGAAGCCAGCGATGACATGGATGGCCAATATGCAGTTACACTACTACCTTACCTACTGCATGTTACACCATTTTGGGTGGGGGAGAATCTATTATTATAGGCTCCTCTTCGATCAAATTGTGCTTTTATTACGCAGGTATTGAGGCCCAGAACAATCTTGCACTTCCTTTGACTTGAAAAGAGTAGATTATTAGGTTTTCGGTGAGTTTGGGCTGCATTGTCCACATACATTTAACTCCCCTTCCCCCTTCCCCCTTCCCCCTCCTCCCCCCCCTCCTCCATCGCTGTACCACCAACTCCATAGTTTTTGCTTCCTGATGGCGAGAACAAAAATCTTTCTTTGAGCCATCTGTTTTTCAAACCTTTTTTTGAGCTCGGTCCCATATCCTGCATCATCATGGCATCTCCTAGAGATATCCCAAATCCCGTCGAGACCACTACGGAAGGGATCGGGGGCCACAAAAATGCCGAAGTCGCGACCAAAGTCATTGAGATCTTGAATGGCGCCGGTTATTCGGAGCACATCGCTCTCGTTCTCAATGAAGGCGTCACCGACTACTGGCTCCCCATTCCCAAACACACCATAATGCCCGCAAAGCTTCTTGATTATATCACGTTCGAAGCCTTCAAGAATGCCCAGTCGCCAGTCCTTGAAAAATCGTACGAGCTCGATCGAACTCACATCCCCCTTGACACCCAAGCCACTTATGAGTGGAATGGAGTGAGATACCCCAAGAGCCTCATATACAAGAGATACCTTGGTGAGGGCGGGGCAGGTATCGTAGTAGAGATGCAGGTAGCTGGCGGAACGACTTATGCGGTGAAGCGAATACCTCGAAAAACCAAATACCACGAGGCCAAGAGTCAGCTGAGATCCATCAAGCAGGAAATTGAGAATCTCAAGAAGATCAACCACACGCACTGCATCGAATTCATGGGCAGCTATTCCGATGTCAAGGAAATTGGGGTCGTCATGGACCCGGTCGCGGACTGTAACCTGGATAGGTTCTTAAGCGAGTTTGACCACACTGGACCTGATAATCGCATAGTGCTGGCAAGCTTTTTCGGTTGTCTTGCGGATGCCCTTGTGTATCTTCACTGGGAGGTCAATATTCGACATAAAGATATCAAGCCAAAGAACATCCTCGTAAAGAAGAACAGGATCATATTGACCGACTTTGGCATCTCGCTGGACTGGAGTGAGCAGGGCCACTCAACCACCAATCAGGAGGTGTTGCGAAGCCCCATGTACTGCGCCCCAGAGGCAGATGCAGGCCAATCCCGAAATCGAAAGTCGGATATTTGGTCTCTAGGTTGCGTTTTTCTTGAAATGAGCGCTGTGCTACGTGGGTTTTCTCCTAATTTCGTGAAGACGAAACTGGGAAATTCATACTTTCGACATAACTTGGATGGGATCCGCGATGCCATCTCGGCCGTGAGACAGCAAGGCCCATTGGACAACTATAACCCCCTGGAGCTGGAGTGGATTGAGCAGATGCTACAATTCGAGAACAAAAAACGCTTGACTTCCAAGGAGCTCCAACTCGCGATATCACGAAGTGTGAGCGACCCTCCGTTCTGCGGGACATGCTGCAATACGGAGCCAGCTGAGTTGTACGACAACAAAACGACGAAATGGCATGGTGTCACGGTGAGACGGGACAACAACGTTTCTGGTGCGTGGATCTCCAAACGGTTGGTTGACCTGTACCATTTGGAGGTGACGAGCCAACAAGCGACACTAATAATAAACGTGGGAGGGCGGCAGTTGGTGTCGGACACAAAAGCTGACGTAAGGTTCATTCTGGACACAGCAAACCACGTTGAGAATGCAGAATGCTATGTCATACCAGCCTCATTTGACCTACTAATCGGCACACCAACCACAGTGGCAAATAATAAGTGGATGGGAACCCCGTGACCAGTATTATCTATTTTAGCTACAGCGCACATGCTCTCAAATTATGCGGATCATGATACTCGTGCATCCGAGAGAGCCGATTGTTATGATAGCCCTCCTTGGGGTCTGCTGCTTGAAATGGAGGGGTCTGGGTATCTACGAAGGCGATTTGGGGGCGGCTACCTACCTACCTAGGTACCTAGAGTCAGACTTGTAGGCAATTGCAACCAGCTTCAATCCTACCGCAGATTAATCATATAGCTACCCAAGGTAATAGTGTATGTAGCCACTTGTCCAGCTGACAGCCGCCCGCAGGTGCAGCTTGAATCGATTGGCTAATGAAGTAAGGTCCAGGCAGGTAGGCACGGCCTTAGTAGCACCGGAACCCTTTTGGGACTAGTGGAGCCGTCCCAAATCCTTACATCCATTGGTTCCGATCGTCCCAACGTCTAACCAGTCAGCACGTGGCCCATTTTTCTGAAACAATCAGATAAATAGCCAGAAACAGCCCGGATTCAACTCGAGGAGTTTAGGCAGCCACTAATGAGCTAATATTTGCGCAAAAAAAAAAAAAAAAAATTCGATTTGTGTGAAATGCTTTTTCGAAGGATAGAGGTCAATCGCACGGTCAATTTAAATACAATCATATTTACCTACAGCTAGGAACATTACGGCTCCCGGCTACAGCTACGGCTAGGAGGCAGCCGCGGCTTGGATGGTTGATATTATGAAGGCAGGTACAAGGACTGCTAACTTCCGCAATGGTCATTTTCCCGTCCAAATGCGTGTTTTGCGGTTCCAAGGCGCCTCCCGCCAGGCTCCCCGAATAGGGAAAGCGTGACGCACGGTGCCAGAATATGACGTGACCTGTGGCTCCAAAGTGCTTCCCTCCCTACGTCTTCCAATCAAGCCACCACAGACAGTGCTTCAATTTCGAGGGTGGCGGCTAGACAGCTTTGATCTCCCATTGAAAAACATAATTTTGTGGAAGAGAGAAAAATGGTGCCTCACTCCACATCCAAGACAACGTGTGCACCTGCGACAGGAGTAGGGTTACCGTTTTTTTTTTTTAGTGTGCAAAATAATTATGTGTGTGGGTGAGGGTTTCATTGCAGCGAAGTGACTGATAAGCGCATGCTGGCTGGTTGATGACTGACTGACGCGACGCATGTGATTTGTGTGACCAACTCTCGGCGTCTATGGGCGACACAAGAGGGGTCACTAATTTCCGCTGATTATGTTTCCTCTCCTCGTATATCTCTCCTGACGAATCCAAGACCTGGCCCCGGTCTTCAGTGGCGGGAGCTACTGCGCCGGCACCTGCAATGAAGAAGACTCCACTGGTTGATCGTCGCATCCTGATTGCCCCAAAGAGCTGGCATGGGTTACCAGCAGCGGAGCGGCTGGCTAAGGTAGCTACATACAGTTAGCCATGAACTCAGCCACCAACCACCAACAGATGAGGCAGATGCAGATGCCGGGACCAGCACTTGACGCTTGACGAACAGACGAGCCAGCAAGAATGACGAACAACCAAGGAGCAAGAGGATATAAAGGTTCCTCCATCCGCTGATATTATGTGACAACTACCTTGTATAATCCAAATGGTATCAACGCGGCGGCCCATTACCATCACAAGCTGCCACCCCGCCTGTCCATCCTTCACACGTCGAACGACGACAACATAGGTATACAACAACAATACTACAATGGCGGCAAACACACCTCCCACAGTGCTACCACACGCCTCTCATGGCGGACACCCCACTACAGTTGGCCCTAGCCTGTCCAACAATCCCACCATCACCTTGGATGTAAGCATCAATTTTTATTTCCCTCCATTCGGGATACACGTGTGTCCTAGCGTCGTACTATCATTGCTAACCTCCACCGTCCCTTGACAGCAAGCCACCCGGAAATTGATCAGCATCAAGCCGCCCGGAAGCACAGATTGGCATGGAGTGTGCGCACTGAATTGCCAGCAAACCGACAACTTTATTTCCGTTGAAGCCATGCGGAAAATGGGCCTCCCCGTAGAGGCCAGCGGCCAATACAAGTGTGATTGGATGCTCAACAACGACGGTGTGGTTCGGGCCGGTACTTTTCAGGCCGTGTCAGGACTCGGCGTCGACGTCGCCTTCGGAGTTAACTGCTTAGACGATTATCCAGCACCTGCCACACCGATTAGCATCTTTGCCACCCCTCACTCCCAAAGCAACATCCCATTAACCGGGTTGAACACAACAGGTCAGCCATCGATCGATGGCCACCCTGCCCGACGGGAAAGCCATGACAGATACGGCAACATGAGAAATCAAAAGCAAAGATACCAAGATGCGCCGATGTTCTTGGGTCCGTACGGAGGACACATGCTTTGGCCCATCCTGGGATGCCTTGCCTTGGGAGGTTTCTACCTCTGGCAGAAAACAAGAGCCACACGATGAGTGCCGACATTAACCGCAGCGGTACTAGGCGAAGGTCTTTACCCCGCCCTCTTCAGCTGTGTCATATCGGTCATTCCTTGCTTCAGCGAAGAAGGTAAATTGTTTGATCGCCCCATAATTTTCTTCACTCGTTGGGGGCAGGTAGCCTTGATTTTGACAAAATGGCACCGTGATCTCGGGAATCGGATTGGCGGGAACATCGGTGGAATACAGCACACCTCATACCCATCGCCCTCGGATATCCTCGATCTGCACACCAGCCGTCCTACAAAGAGGGCAGGTAGCGCAACGGGCCAAGAAAAGCACGCTATCCTACATAGAGATAGATTTCATTTTGCAAATTAATCATAGCCTCGACTTTTCTCATTGATTTATGACCATGAAGCTCGCGATCTTCTATTGGGATAACGGCAGCTTGAAGCGAGAAGTTTCCCATAAAAAGTGCAAAAACGCTGGTATTCACCTGAGCCAAGTTTGGCAGTAAAGGGCGGCCACTTTATGCACAGCCCCAGGCGCCTTGTGAGGCGACCAACGTCGAAATGTGAATGCTCTCTACAGCTCTGCATGTTGGCCCGGGCAAGTGAGGGGCTTAGGCTGCGATCAGCTAATCCGTTAAAGGGGAGTAGGCGACGCCTAACCGGTACATCCGCTACCGAAACAGGTGGAGATGTACCTTTGTACTGTCTGGGGTCAGATACCTAGACGGAAGCCTTCAGGTAGTATAGAAAGTACAGTAGGCGGCTGTTTTCCAAACGCCTAAAAAAGCGTGTGTAAGCCCGTGAAATACCTTGGCAACCAAGCCTGTTACAAGCAACTAAGCGGCCCCTGCTAGCGGGATATTTTAAAATAGGGGGTTAATAAGAGGATAGAGAGCTTTTATTATTTTTATACGATCTACATACTAAGTTAAGAAAAGTCGGTATTTTGTGCGAGGTTATGCCATTTGGCAGCCGTTTGGCGGAGTAGCTTATCACAGCCTTGTTATTCTATCTACACCTGCCAATAAGAAACGGCGTATCCCCTCTTCCTGCCTATCGCCTATTCCTGCCTTCCCACAGCCGTTGCCTGCGAGCCACTGTCCAGTGGTTTGCAAATTTAAGGTACGTATGCTCGGCACCGGGGCAACTAAACAATTAGCCAGGCCGCAATGTTGGGCATCATCTGTTCCCCAAACGGGAATACATCTGGTGGTAATGGAGCTGCGTGATTACGTGATCGACTCCAGGCGGCGGGCTGGTGCGGGAACTTCATCCGGGCAGCTCATCCTTGTTTTTGAGCCTCAAAAGGCTCCAAATTCGTTGATTCTCCGTATTTTCTCCAAATACAGAGGATGTCCCATGTTTAAGCTTGATTATTCCTACGCTAGCTCTTAGTGAGATTTAGGAAATTCAGTTACCGCGTGCTTCTCCTCGTCTACCCCGATGTTATTGCCGGCATTTTTTTTGAATACAATTTCTTCGAGGTAGCATTCAAATACTCCTAATTTTAGCGTTTTGTTCCCTTTGCTGATTTCGCATTACAATCAGATTATCCGAATACCACACGCCCCGGTTAATCCTAATTTCTGTAACTCGATGAATTAAAGGGAACATCTTTTTGAAGAAGTTAAAAAGTTACAGTATCTGATAATCTACCGAGTAAGAATACATGAACTCAAACTATCATCGTGCAGTAACAAATCTATGTATTACACATCGTTCGAACATCTAAAACTTGTAGTGAAACCAGTCACAGTGGTGTACATGCTACTAGATGTTTCTTGGTGGCTTGCGGCCCCGAACGGCTTGCTCAACACGATACGCCAGATTAAGCAATTCCTGGTCTTTGAGAGGTAGAGACAAGAGCTCTAGTCCAATAGGTAGACCGTTGGATGTGAATCCAGCGGGCACAGATATAGCAGGCCATCGCAAGTTACTGGCGATGGCGAAGTTAGCAGGGACTGCCAACCGCATCTTGGCATCTATATCGGCTGACACCGGTGGGGGTATCTTCGCCTCTGGGAAAGCGAACGCAGAAACCTGGTGCTTGATCATCAGAGCAGACAGAACGGCGTCGAACTCTACCCGTGTATCCAACTGCTTTCCATACTCTCCAGACTCGTATGGAGACACGGCCACGCGGGGAAGGGCATAAGCTACCAGGACATTCTCCTTCGGAAGTTGGCCATTGGCAAGTAAGGAGCTAAAGCCAACACCAAAGTTTTCCTTGATGAATCCCTCCAAGTCGATCCGGCTTCTTGTTAGCAAGACACTCGACCCGGCGATGTAGCTTGCCAAATTGGGCACTTCAATGTCGACCAGTGTGACACCAGACTTGGAGAGAGTGTCCAGCGCGGCCTCAATGACCTCGTTGACCTGTCTTTGCTCAGGTATGTCATCATCGCCAAACATGGCGCGAATAACCCCGATTCTCTGTGTAGAACGAGCATCAAACTGAGAGGCAAAGCTCCCCCCGCGCGGCATATCGAGTGCACGCGCATGAATAGCCGTGACACTATCATTTTCATCGTAGCCAGCAACTGCATCCAGCAATAGTGCCAGGTCGGTCACAGTCCTCGCCATCGGCCCAACAGTTGACTGTCCGTGGACTGCACGCAAGCCCCCATAGCCGCTGATGAGCCCAGCCGTGGGCCTGAAACCAACGAGAGAGCAAAAGGCTGCTGGGATACGGCTGGAACCGCCAGTGTCGCTTCCCAACCCAACAACAGCCAGATTTGCTGCCAGAGCTGTTGCTGTTCCTCCACTGGAGCCGCCTGGATCCCTTGCAAGATCGTATGGATTGCGTGTCGTACCAGAAAGGGAGGAGTTGGAAAACCAGTCAGTTCCCCAGTCTATGGTATCTCGAATTAGAACCATCCGTGTAGTATTAAGATCAACACGATTACTGACCAGGCATCGTGGTTTTGGCCAGGATAATAGCCCCGGCAGATTTGAGCTTAGCTACAGCTGTAGCATCCTCGTCGGGAATGTAGTCCTTGGCAACAATAGAACCATAGGTGTTGGGTAGTCCCTTCATCTTTAGATGATCCTTGACGACGACTGGGATCCCGTGCAGAGGCCCGACGAAGCGCCCATCCTTGGCAAACGAGGCATCCAATCGTTTCGCCTCCTCGAGCGCTGCATCATTGACGGCCAAAGTAGAGTTGAGTTTGGGTCCGTCTTCAGCCTTGTCAATTTTCTGAATGCAATCAAGAAAAGCGGCGATCAGAGCTTCAGCAGTAACGCGACCTTCTTTATAGGCCGCGTGGATCTGGCCGATGGTGATTTCTTCCAGTTGAATGTTCGCCATTGTATGTTGAAATTGATGTAATGGATGCCTGATGATTGAATTTGTCAACAGAACCATGGAGGGATTGCGCGGGGTATTTATTTATGCACGAACGAAAGTGCAATTGCATTTTCCGAAGAGGCATGATTCTCCGACTGCAACACAAATCGGCCGAACAAGTCGGAGTCGGACTCTCACTCGTGGATCTTTCCGCGCGAGATACACGCGGATGACGCTGTGCCAGAAGCTTACTCGAAGTCTTCGGAAGTACCGGGTCATAGCGGTCTCTAGCGGGTGCGCTTGATGTTGAAATGAGCGTATTCAGTGACGAGCCTCAGCGGGTCGAGAGTTTAGACAACGTGTTATTCTGGCTCTCATCAGGATTGATAGCCTCCACATGATCCAGCCTACACTCAGAATGGATATCCGCGTGGTTTTGGAGCTAGAGAGAACGAGCAGTAGTTTTGCTGTGTAAGTCGCACCTGATCATATTTGATCATTCAATTCATGTCTCGGTCAGACTAGCCTGCGTCCAACTAGCTACTGTGGTGGTCTATTGGAAAGAAGAGAGAGGTCAAAGCGACGTTGTGTTGATTCACCTAGACGATTTTGATCTCTTGCTCCGGTGGTAGATTATGAAAAAACCTGAGAGCATCCTCTCTCTTCGTTCCCGCAAACGTCCACACACCGCACCGAATATAAGTCGCATCACTCAACCGAGATAGAGCAAGTCCGCTAAACCAGTATGTGTCTGGTGTACTCCAAGTTCCCGAAATAGGAAAACAGAAGACTTCCCCAGCAACATCCTTCTTCGTATCAAACAAGACTGTTCCACAATGACCTCCACCGGCGTAGTCAAACGTTTGACCTGGATAAGTAGCAACTGTGCGCAGCGTCTCTTCATCCCCGTTCCCGGCATGAGTCATCGGATTTGCAAGGACCAGTTTCCCTATCAGGGTGATTGCACCGTGAAGCAAGCCCTCGGCAGATAAACTCATGCCCACTTTTACAAGCTCACAGAAAAGCCCAGTGTTAGCATCTGTCGGACACCTGATGTGAAAGTCAATAATACCATCCACGGATGCCCAACTCCAAGACGGCACCTGAGATACGGCTGGTCGCGTTCCCTCACCGGATACACTCCATATCAATCCCTTGGGCAGCATCAGCCTCCACATTCCCGCGAGGTATGTGGTATCATTACACCCACGCACTTGTAACAAACGCTTCATATTCTCTGCCACAAACTGGATATTCTGTATTTTCTCGTCTGATGATGCCACAGCACAGCGTGAATATTCACGTAGGAGGTGGAACCAACGCGTGAAGATCTGATCAATATGGTTGTGCTTGACCGGAAACTGCACACCCATGAGGGGCTTCCAACTGTCGATTACGGAGGTGTGATCATCAGCGGTCTCCTTTTCACGGCCCATGGAAAACCCCACGGGAGTAGACCAACCACTAGGGTTGACTTCATCGCATATTGCGCCATAGCATTCCCAGTAGACAAGCCGTTGACCAAAATGAACCATCCGTGGCGAGAGGAGGCGTTGCCTGAAAACTTGTGGGTTTGTAGATGCTGGTTCTTTGTGAAATGCATGAGCACCAACCAAATCCTTATCTGTCTCAAGAATATATGAAGTCGTCTCAAGACCGCCGAAAGGAAGTTTGAGTATGGTTGGAATTATGAGATCTGGGTCACGTCCAGTGAAAAGCCCAGAATAGGGATCCGTGGAACCCACAGCGCAAATACCAAGAAGTGCCCGAGAGAAGATGCGACTAGTTTCATTTGCGTTCAATGATTGGTCGGATTGATTATCTTGCAGAACACAGAGCTGGTCAATCCAAAGGTAGGAGAGACCCAGTCTATCCACTATCGTAAATGCATCACGGTAGACTAAAGGAAGAGCTGATAAAGACTGCGGTTCGGACAGGGAGGCTAATGTCGACTCCGTGAGCTGGAAGTTGCTTCGAGTAAAAGAATGTGACAAAGTGACGTATTGAGCCCCTGGTGTAATGACATTCCCATTTATTATATGGAATGTACCAGTAGGCTTTTCTAGCCGAAGTAGACGAGGTGGAATGTAGCTTGTTGGCTGGTTGCAGCGTTCATGATTATCAAGGCAATCGTGCAGCCAATTGTGTATTACCTCCCAAGTGGCCTCATCTCCAGTAGAGGTACCAAGGTTGAGGTTGAGACTGTTATCTGTTTTGACTTTCATTTAGTACAAATAGTATGCGCAAGGATTCACATTGAACTCACCATCATGCTGACATAAATTGATGCCCCCGTATCTGTCACCAACTGCCAGATTTACGGAAGGTATGTCATCTATAAAGGCAATTCTGAAAAGGGAATAATACCCCAGTTCACTAGCTTTGGGGTGAGGTTCCTGCTCTTCCTTAAACATACAACATATGGAACAGCCCTCTCGCACTGACTTCTGGAAGGACTCGGAAGTTGCATGATGCCCAAACATGAAGGTATCTGGGCGGCTGAAGTCGCGATCGCACAGCCCAAGAGGCTCTAGAAAATCAGGGCCGAAATATTCGTCAACTCGGCAGACTTTCCTGATATCAGGTGTATCCCAGATGCCTTGGAAGACCTCACGACACACCTTGCAAAGCATGGTGGAGTTTTAGTTACTCATAGCAGGCCGTCTGATATTGCGGAATGAAGGGCATAGAAATAATATTAAACTAAATGAGGAAGAAGGTGAAGAAGGGGATGGCATTTGAAGATATCGAGTTGCTGATGGGCAGAATTACTTATGATTTCATACAAACTTATACGGGAGTATTTGCCAACCTTTTTGGCAAGCGGACTTTTTGTAAAATACGTTGCATACGACTGCCATGAACGACAGTAACTGGGGATCTTGAGCCCACGTAGTGTTCGTGCTACGTACCCCTGCGACCAAAGTACGCTTATCTGCACCGCGTAATTCGTATTTGGCCTAAATTTGCCCCCTGCTCTACATTCCGTCTCCACTTGGATGTAAAGAGCTGATCTGTCTCACATGCCTATTAGTTGGTCAGCAGATAATTTCCCAACTCTTGAGCCTCTTGCTCGGAATTACAACTGACAAGTAGCACGACGTGGCGTGGAGTGTAGTTGTGACGTGTTGGATGTGACAATACTGCGGAAATGTCATGCCTTACGGTGCAATATTAGATTCTGAATGTATCACCGAGTGCCGTCTAGACCGCCGAGCTACCCTATACTATATATAGGAACAAATCTATTATCTCCCAATATACACCCTCAGCCAGATAATCAGTCTAATCGCCAAGAAACAAAAAAGAATGTATCGCATTTTACGACTAGTTTGAGCGTCTATTATAGTTGGCCGCACTAGTAACGCTTTTTTCGATTCTTCAAGTCCCGTCTTGAATGAGTGGACGACTACGAAAGATGGATGACGTCGCTTCTTGCAAAAACAATATGCTTGATATCTTACGCGTGGAAGGGACTACATAAAACCAAGTCAACATGCGTTCTAGGATATATGTAGCCAAGTTATAAGATAGACTAGAGCGCTTATGCTCTGAGCATCTGGATTCTTCGCACTGGATACATGAAGAAGCCCTTGCCAGCTATTAGGAAAGTAACCTTACTCAGCATTACCTCTGCTTAGTGTAAGACCCACTAAATGAACAACACACAAAGGAACAACAGATAATCCGTACGGCAACCCCTCATTTGGTCAACTTGAACAAAGACTGAACGACTTTCACTTGATCAAGTGTCCCTACAGCAGGCTCAGCCACCAAAGTTTCGGTCCTTCTATGCCGCCCCTTCAAAGCCACTATAAAGTTTTCCACCAATGAGTTCATCTCTCGTTCATTCTAGGACTCAAAGGGTCCTTGTTGAACTTGAAAAGAGTTATGCTACGTTACAGGATGTCAACGAGGAACTTCGGATAGTTCAGGCCGACATCTACCTTGCGTCTTTCAAATGGAATGTGCTTTCGTGCGGCTTGGAAAGCTCTGATCGTCCAGAATATTGGGCCAACACGTCCGGACGCAGTATTTGGAGTTTCGTGAGGGATGAACAGAAGCTGAAAGAATGGATATCTAGGGTTCACCGCGGCGACCTTGTCAGCGGCGACCTCCTCCAGTTAAGGGAGAGCGAACGAAAAGAGCTCCAGGGTCTAGGCGATATTAAAAGGGACCTTGAAGGCATCCAGCACCAGCTCAGGCAGATTATCAACATCTTATCTCGACCAGGCCTACGATCATACAATATATTAGATATGCCAGAAGAAATTCTTTGTAATATATTTGAGTTTGTCGAAGATTTCCCGTGGGAGTTTCACGAGCTCTGGCATTTTGCTTCCAAAGACATAAAGAATTGTCGACTCACCTGCCAGGCGTTCAATCGCATCAGTTCTCGGTTCTTCCTACATTCCGTGCCCGTGGGCTTGACTGCTTCGTCTCTTTCGAGGTTCAATGAGATATCCAGCCACCCAACCATCAGCAAGGGAGTACACTGCGTTCGAGCTATCCTCCGCTTTTATGATACTTCCCTTGGCGACAGTTTACGAGCTTTCATCCTTCACAATGCTAACATGCTTCGCGATCGAGTGCAATCTATTGAGGAGATGAAATCATGGAGGTATCAAAAAGATGTTTCTGAAGAAACTGGCGTCAGAATAGTGGAATCACTGAAAGAGGCTTTGGCATGCTGGCATCGGGTTGCTTCGGATACACAAGCACAATCCCTTGACGACCAGGACCACCCCCACCTCGAGCTGCTGAAAGCAACTCATGAAAGATATCAGAGCCTGTGTGCTTACCAAGACGAAATGTGGCAAAGTGGGAGGTTTTTGCAAGCAGTAGCTACGGGAGTATCTAGGATGCCCGGTGCGAAGGCAATTTTCTTTCACGATTGGGACCTTGCAACTCCAATGCGGAGTTCGTTCTATCATTCGCAAGACATTAATGAACCACTCTCCGAGTTTATGCTCCAGCCAATGAATTATCTTACTGCCAGCGACTATCGTTTCAGGCTGAGGCTCTGCGACATGATAGCCAAGCTTCTGGTAGCAGTGCATCATGCGGGGGCATGGCTCGAAAGAATTGACATCAGGTTGTCGTACGTGGAATTTCCTTCAGATTTGATGCCAAGCCCCGAGCTGCGGCAGCAGCTTCCACTCGCCATGCAGCGACTGCGCGAGTTCAATTTCAAGTGCGAAGGTGGGTTCAATGGAGAATTAACTCAAGATATCCTATACAACATAGTAGGATCCTGTCTAGATACAGGAAGTCTTCGAAAGATTTCCATCGATATGTCATCGAGAGAGCCGGACAAGCTATGTGTCGGTAGGGTCATCACATCACGGCACTGGCAACATCTATCTAAATTGTTTTTATATGATGTCTCTTTCCATTTTTCGGAGCTTCAACTCTTCGTCAGCAGGGCCCCCAGGTCCTTTTCCTGTGCCGTGATGCGATGTGTCTATCTGCTGAGCGGAACGTGGGCCGAGGTTCTGGATACCTTGCGTGAGAAGCCTTCAATTGACGATATGGTGCTGACTGATCCGCTGGGCGCCGAGTGCGAAGACATGTCGGACGAAGAGATGAAGAGAATATTTGGCAGAGCTAAGCCTTTGGCTCCCAGCCAAGCAGAGCTTTACATTTTACGGCAAACCTCTCAAAATCCTTTGAGAGACCAGCAGAGTTTAGACCAAGACGCTGTCGACGTGGAATCGGAGGATGAAATGGAGGCTGAACAGTAATGTTGCTGAAGCAGGATGATGTTCGAGTGCGGATGTACATCTTTGAGGTACGGGTTTGAATCAGTGGTGGCAATGTTTCCGCTGCATGAAGTTCGGAGGCAAATTGCAACCAAGTCATCCTTGAATGATCCAATAATAACGCCGAACAAAATCCCTCCGAAGCTTATGTTTCTGCTAGGAATGTGGATAATTCCTGGTGGGGATCCGATGGGCTGCGTTGAGACTTATGACCACTCAGTCCAGTACTGTTGTGCAGTCGAGAGATACCGAGAAGTTTCTGATGATAAAATAACATCAATGGTGCTCTAAAATGTGCATGATGACGCCTGATAAAAGGTACTAAAACATCCAATATTCACCGTATCAGCTTCCATCTGACCTACAAATCTCTACGTAAACTAAGCGGTTAGACTTAGCGGTGAATCCTCTTAAAGCGATGCCGGAAGAAAGTCCGATTCATTCGACGGGTATTGAGTTTTCAAGACAGCTTTCGGCTTGCCAGACATTGTCGGCTTGTTTTTTGAACGACTGACAACTTATACCTCTCCACAGTTTTGACGGAAAAGGGTCTACGCATGACATGTCTGGATCACAGCATGCCTGGGGATCCCTTGTGTCTTAAATATCCGAAACAGAGGCTTGCCGTTCCTTCTATCCCTCACAGCTTAGCTGAACAATATCGTACGATAACGCCACATCAAGAGAAAGTCAGCAACTGAGAAATGCAAATAAGAACTTCCGTCTATGCCGAGGCTAAACATGTTGTTCTTCTAACGATTTTGACCGGATCTGGTAGAAATGAGTTCTAGACGTTTCGAACGTAGATAGAAGCTGAAAAGAACCAGCCTATATGTCGCGCATGTATAAAAGGACCCAGGAGTTCTCGTCCGAGTGATCATTTTGCATTCATTCAAAGCAAAAGTCAAATAACTTAGAGAAGAAGAGAAGAAAACTCTCACATTCATCTCAAGAAAATCCAGCTTGAACACAGCGAGTCAAAATGCTCTTTAAAACTACGGCAGTCTTGTCCACTTTGGCCTTTCTCTTCGCTGGCCAGGCCCTTGGTAGTCCCGAGGCGAACGGGGCCCTCATCGCCACTGACCCAAGTGAGTAGTCCCAACCCCCCCGCCTCCATGGCTCCAATGAGCCAATAAGGAAAGGATGATTATACTCACATGTTTCCCGGAAAAGAGTCTGCATGTCGATGCCCCAGGAATTGTGGCCACAGGGCTGGGAGCAGCTGCAAGTTTTATGCAGGCAACTCTGACAAATCAACTGTCGTGAGTGGAAGTAAGTGCTGCCTAGACACTCACGTCTCACTGTTGAAATTGGGCTAATGGGGAATGAAGAGTGTGGCAAGAGAAGAGATGGTCTGGTTTGCATCCCATAAGGGCAAATCTTTCTACCATTATGGATAGGAGGCAGGATGCAGGATTGCTATCTCATTCAACGGTGCGTGAAGAGGCTTTTATCTGTTCGATGATCTCATAGTAGGTAGTCAATAACAGTGCAGCCGGTTTGGTGCTTGAAATCCAACAAGAGTAAATCATATGACTTAGTGTGGCGAGCGTACCTGGATCCCACAGCTCTTGACGTCCTGCCACAGAGACAAGCTTATTGGTTTGTAAGAATGGAGCATCTTGAATATAAATAGCTTGAGTATTAAGAATTACGAGTTCATGGAATTCCATGAAACGAAGTTAGCTGGGATGTAAAAATAAGATATGTGGGTATTGCGATTTCACGGAATTCCGTGAAGCAAGTAGCAACAACATTGGACCTGTACGTTGCAATGCGCAGTTTGATTTGTAAGCTTATATATATTTCCTTTTTTTTTATTAGCCTTAAATGTAGCTTCCATCTTGGCAAGACAAGATATATAGCATAGCTTGTAAGCTCGTACTTTGGGCATAGGCCATCTCAACACAATATTTCGGTTGTCAAAAGCCTACCTTCTTCTTCCTTGCCCTGCGTACGTCAGTATCCAAACACATGCCTGATCTGGTCTTGTATCGCGCCAATGGAGCCTGCTCCTTGGCACCGCATATCATGCTGAACGAGCTCGGTCTGCCCTTCAAGTCCGTTGTCCAGGGCTCTTCCCCAAAAAGTACGCTCCCTCCAACAGTTGAAATCGACATTGATGAGTATCGGAGAACCATCCATCCGCAGGGCTATGTCCCGGCACTTCGGGCGGATGATGTGATCCTCACGGAAAATGCCGCTGTCATGTCCTACCTGGCGCGTTTGAAGCCGGAGAGGAAGCTAGGAGGCAGCTCACCGCTCGAACAGGCACAGGTTATATCTTGGTTGAGCTTCTTATCTGGATTTGTTCAGGGCCAGGCATGGACGCCGCATTGGATCCCAAGCCGCTTCACAACGTCGGAGGATGCGAGCCAGCTAGAGCAGATCAGCAGCAAGGCAAAGGTCAAGGTTGATTACGGATACGATTTGATTGAACAGCGATTGAAGGGCTTGTTTGCTGTCGGCGAAGCAGATACTGTCGTCGACTTTTACCTTATCGTATTCTACAACTGGGGGCAGAATTATGGCGTCGACATGTCAAGATATCCCAAGTTTGGAGCATTGATCGCTCGGATGGAGCAGAAGCAGTCGGTTCGAGATACGATCAAGGCAGAGGGGTTGGCTTTGTACTTTGACTAAACTCAGATATGGAAATCCCTTCTTTGCAACTAACGTCTTGTCAATGGACGAGAAGATCAAGTTCTTGGAATCTATGATAGCCGTTGGGCCAGGATCCTCGCAAATACCCCAATCCCATGTTCCTTTCACATATCCCGTTCGGAGCTCTTCAAAGCTCCCATTGGCTATGGTAGTCGCCCTTTTGCTACCTTGTTAATTTCAATCCTTGTCCGCGGGCGTGATGTATAATTCTCCGAGATCGATCATTATCGAGTTACGCTCGCAACTCAGTAAGGCCCTAAAATGCGTAGCTACGGGCAGGGCCGGGATAAGACGATCCCCGAACCCTGTTTTCGCTGACAAATGTCCATTCGTGTGGACATAGCCGTAGGGGCGGAGAATGAACCTCAATCTTCACCTTTACATTGTTGCTGCATGAAGTACCAAGTGTGACAAAATGGACGGACAATTCCCTCTGCAGTGCGCCCTCTGTAGCAAGACCTTTAGCAAGGGTGAGTTGAGCCCCTGGATGAGTTTACCGTAGCTTACTCTTTGGCTTCAGAGTCTACCTCGAGAAGACATTGGTACTACTGTCGGTCCAAAGCAGGTGCCAATGTCTCAAGACCTAGAGCTTGTTATTCTTGTGTGAAACGGAAAGCCCGGTGCGACGAAGAGCGACCCTCATGCGGGAGATGCACATCCAAGAATATTGACTGTGCTTACCCAACCACCACGACCCAAACTACCGGCCGTGGTTCGAGAGTTCGCCGTGGTAACAGCAGACTACACACAAGAGCATCACCGTCATTGGCCACCGACCTCACAAGTGTCGCAAATGATTTGGGAGCACAAGAAGACGAGACGCATTCTGTTACCACGCCTGCTGCCCCACGCCCAGAATCACTGAGAGATATTGAATCCGGCTGGGACGACTTGGCAATTGATTTCAATAGCTCGAGTGGCCCTTTATCGAACGAAACGATACGGCATAATTCGCTAATGCCAGGCTCCTCAACCGCTACCTCAACTTCGGCTATCTGCTCGACGAATGCGCCGTCCATGATATCACAGCGAAGTCATTCAACCTCTGACGACTTCCTCCAAGCCATTCTTGTTGCCGCATATCCTGTTTGTACGCCCCGATTGTTCATCCAGCGACCCAAAGTGACTACCGGGGGACAGAGAACGGCAACCCTGATTCGCTATACGCTTCAATCTTATACGAAGAGGCTGCTGCACCAAAACGATATGCCACCGTTCATCCATCCTTATTCCATATCTGCCATTGAAGGTAGGGAGCCCCGCATCAATCCGCTCAATACATGCACTAGCCTTCTTCATGTCCTTCATTGTGGAGTTACAGGAAGTCCAGCTCTGTTTTGGAGGAATGTGCAGTGCGAGTGTGAGCGTCTACGTAATGAGGTATGCTAATAACTGGGAGGACTTTCAAACTACTAATTACTAAAATCTTCTAGGCTCTATCTATGAACAAATGGGAACTACTAGCTGCTTTGCAAGCATTAGCAATATACATAATCGAAAGACTAAATACAGATGGAGCAGGGTATGAGGCTCTGGATGGTCTATTGATTAGAACAGTAACCGTGGGACTGCATCCCAACCTAGCCATCATGTATGTAAATTCAGCTAATGGATGAAACATAGGATTTGGCTCAACAATATTCCACTATCGATATTGACGTTGATTTAAACGCCGAAAGACTGTGGTCCGACTGGATTTTCAACGAGTCTACTCACAGGTAAGCTGGCATCTTATTTGATATACTGCAAAGATCTCATTGCGGATGATTCGGCTAACAATAAGAAGGTTATGCATAGTTTACAGAGTCATAGATATGCTGGTGCACTTTGAGCCAGCAGCCATGTGCCCCTTTTACAACACAAGCCTTGTCCTTGCGCCACTACCAGCCAGGAAACAACTTTGGAAGGCCGATAATGCCAGCAACTGGTATAGGGAGAGGGAACTGGGAACTAGTTCGCAAACGTCATTTGCATTGTTTGCCAATGGTGAGCTAGTCAGTATGGCAGAAGTGCCGTCACGTGTTGGCGACTGGAAGAGAAATACGGAGCTGTTGAATCCGGAGCCCCGGCCAGAGAATACCGCGAATTGGAACGAATGGTGTTCGGGCATGGACGAGTTTGGCAGTCTTGTTATGCTTGTTGCTTCGTTTATAGAGATGTGCTCTCCAATAAGCTAATATAGGGTCAAGAGCTGAGTCTCTATATCCAGCACAATTGTACTTCGATTATGAGTGAGCCACTCAAATTAGTAACTCCCATGCCTTAGTTTGCTTGGACATCCATCTCGGATGATACGGCAGAGCACCACATTTGATGAGATGGCGTAGCTGTCGAGCTGACCTTCACTGAGGACCTGTGATGCTCGTCAGCCAACCACAACCCCCGCAAATGAACACCACCAGATCCACCCGCGCGGTTGTGGGTCAGATCGAAGCGCCGCCTACATGATGATGGGCCGGATTGGGAGTGTTGATTATCAATGAAGAGTCTGTTGCGTTGGTATAAATAAGAGGACATATCTCATACCTGTCCTGGCTTCTTTCTTGTATTATACTATATTGAATCAATATCGTTACTTAGTTATTCCTCGCCCTTCGTTTAAAGATGGCTGCCAATTCTGTTGTCCTCATCCTGGGAGCCGGCCCGAGAGTCGGTACCTCCGTCGCTACGGCGTTTGCCAAGGATAGCTACAAGGTAGCTATAGCGTCCAGGAGTGGCACGGGAGGGAAGACTTCAGAGGGGTTTCTCTCCCTTAAGGCTGATCTAGCCGAGCCAGAGTCCATCCCTGGTCTCTTTGATGCAGTGAAGAAGGAATTCAACACTGCCCCCAATGTTGTGGTGTACAATGGGGCGGCACTCACACCTCCTCCCAAGGAGAATTCACTGCTTTCGGTACCCCACGAGGCTCTTGCTTCGGATTTGAATACCAACACTATTAGCCCTTACGTCGCTGCGCAAGAGACTATCAAGGGTTGGGAGACACTGCCCAAGGAGGTCAAGAAAACCTTCATCTATACCGGCAACAAATCAAACATTTCTCTGATGCCAATCCCCATCACGATGACTCTTGGAGTTGGCAAATCCGCTTCGGCATACTGGATTGGTCTCGCTGACACTATGTACTCTGCCCAAGGGTACCGGTAAGTTCTTGTTCATGCTCGAAGTGTCAGATAAGCCGAATACTAAGGTCTTAGATTCTTTTATGCCGATCAACGGAACGATGACGGCAGCCCTGCTGGGTTTGGACTGGATGGTCCTGCACATGGTGATTTCTATACTAGACTGGCTAAGGACGGGAATGTGCCGTGGCATGCCACCTTTGTGAAGGGCCAGGGATATGTTGAGTTCAAGTAAATGAAAAGCCCATGTAGCCTATTCTCCTGCCTTTGGTTGTCTATTTCATTCATTGGAGTCAAGCCCATTCCTAGTCAATGTAGAAGCAGAACCTGGTGACCTACCAATCAGACTAGCAATACCATATCACCATGAGCTCTGAAGCATGCAGCAAAGTCTTGACACGCATCTTCTTCGTTTCTATGCCACACATTTTCCATGATCTGCAGTGCTTTCCGTATAGTGCTAAACACTATTGAGGGCTGCAAAGCCTCCACCATTCGACGTATTTCAACTCGCTGGGCCGGCTGAGCAAGACAGCCTGCAATGCAGAACGGCCATACCATCGAGCGTATCAATGTACTTGGGGATAGTTCATTCGCCAACAAGTCAATCATTTGGCCAACATGATATCGGACCTCATCGCTCGCCGGCTGCCATCCGGACACAACGACATGCAGGTAAAGGAGAGTAGCTCGAGTCCAGACAAGCGTAACCAAACGGCGTGAGCTCGATGCGCCGTCATTCGGTGCGAGAAGATCTAGTAAATTTCCGCCGTTTTTACGTCCCTCAGTAGGCTCGTGTTCAAGGCGCATGATGTGTCCTTCTAGGACATTTTTAATCCGTGTCGCGCGTCTGGCCAGCTCAATCACATTGAGATTTCCGGTGTTCTGACATTGCTTTTTCCATTCGTCGAGGACTGCTATCTCACCAATCTGTACAATTGTCATGTTTTGGCATCCGATAACTTCTTCCAAGTTGATTACAGGTTCTCGTCCTTCGGTGCTTTCGAGTAGACTCTGGTGATATTGGTATAACCGAGGTCGTTTTTGCAAAGTGGTGCTGGCAATAATGTCATCGAATAATAGAAGAGCAGTCGAAAAATAAAACGCATCCTGCTCACCGCTCGGAATGAGAATGTGCTCGGCCGGGGGGATGAATGACAATGGCCCCAGGCGGCCCATGAACGTATTGAACTGCGCTCGGAGCCCAACTGGCTCAGCAGTACATGATTTGTCGAAGAGTTGACCGAAAAGCGCCAGAGCAGCATTGAGGTGTGCGGCACAGTTCTCAAATGTCAAGGCTGCGACCTCGAAGTGAAGCATCTGCACGATACTGGCCATGATCTGTACCGCGCCGTGGGGGTTTTCGATGATATCCGACCCGTTCATGGCTTGAATTGCTCTTTCCAGACTCTGAAAGGCCTCTCTGACTTGCGAGAATACAGTATCGCATATGACCTCGCGGCTGTCGGTCCCCTGCGCGAGGCAGAAGAAGAAACAACCCTGACATAATGTAGCTTGCCTGACCACCGGGCTGCGGATCATCAGTTCCAAGATCCATGCTGTCCCGCCTCGTGCGATTGAAGGACGATAGAATGGGAACAGGAAGGGGAGCACACTCTGGAGGTAGAATGTCGTAAGGATTGAGTCGGATCGGCCCACCAAGCTGCTTCTGTCTATATGAACACAGCCCGTCCCTTGTAATAGTGATACATGCGACTCTGTGCTTCTGCATGTCTCGTTTTGCGTCGGTTCTGGCATCATCTTTTGGGGTCCTGCTGGCCATTCGCCAAGGTCGGTATTCAACACCTTTTCACTGGAGACGTGCGGACGCTCAACTCGGCGGTAGGGAGCATTCTGCTTCACTTCTCGTTTCAGCTTCTCTATCATTTCCTCCTGCCTTGTGCCGCCATCCATCCACTCGGGCTTCTTGTCGTCATAGTGGCAGGTGATGCAGAGGGCCTCACAAATGCCACATACAGGGCGTTGTTCGTCGCATTTCTTCCGCCGTAGTCGACAAGTCCAGCATCCATGAGAAGTCCGTGCCGCACGGGATGGTGGCTCCATTGTAGTATTTCATTCAAACATGACATTCTATTCTGGAGGATGTGTGGAGTAAGTGAAAGACTGTCTAGTGCCGTGACGAACAGAACAATTTCAATGGCTGACACAACAAGATGCTTACGAGAGCAATTCCGGCGTTAGCGGGGCCTCGTAAAGTCTCCAGGGAGCAAGTCTCAGCAAAGTAGTTATATGATCACGATACCGGGCTGCCGGCTGCTCATGGCCTCTTTAAAACTAAGTTTAGCGGCTGGGTAACACATATCACCGACCAACCTAACGATCTATAAGATGGATGCCCGTTCTACGCCTCTCAGCTGGCTCAAGAGACACTCTCATCGCGGCTTACCTATGACCCGGGATGCCTCAAATAGGACATATTATCATCCAATCATTGAGTGTCTACCCCTCTCCAGGGGTTCGGCATCATTGACAACTACGTCTTACCGCCTCTCTACGGATGATACATTTCACTCAACCCGCTATCCCATCTTCATCTGAAAACTGATAACTGGCTAGACAAATCTCTCCATAAATGGAATCTGATAGGCAGATCACTGGTGGTCCGTTCTGTGCTCTATGTGGAGGAACATTCCGCGCACACAGGGCCGATTCTGACACGCCACCTCTGAATTGGACGTCGAGGATCCGCCATGGTAAGCGCAAAGAGATCATGACCAGAAGGTGCAGATGGATTCCGTTAACCATTCTCCTATTGATATTGAAATATAGCCACATGCATATTCAACGTGATGAGCTCGCACCTGAGCCATCCATGTTATGTCGCCTGGAGTGCCGCGGGAGGGCCTGGACCAGCCAATCCGGCTGCGGACATGACCGTGCAAGGCTTGGAGCCATACTATCTGGCCGATTCTGAAGATGGAGAAGAATCTATTGTGTTTGTGTACCATGAAGCTTGTTGGCAGATGCTTCTCACCCGGCTCACGTACAACACCGGTTCAGACCCAGATCATGAGGACGTTGCCTACTGGCTTTTCTATACCCTCGCAAGCGTCCCACGATGGGATGGGCGGCTTCTCCCCCGCCATGGCTATCATGGAGTGATGCCGATTCTTGAATCAAACCACCTGAGAGGCGTATTGGAAGCTGTCATCGACTATATTCCCTTTCCTTCCATCTCTCCAGAAAGTCACCCGTCCCAGCCAACAATAGACTCAGGAGCTTTATTATCAACTCAAGATCTGCCGGTGCCTTCTTATGACCCGTTTCGGCAACTTCCCTCGGAGATTATTTGGGATATCATTGTCTATCTTACGTACGATGACATAAACAATGCACGACTCAGTTCCCGCCATTTCGCCATGCACACTTCCGCAGCGAGATTGCCCCAGAAATTCCTGGCCAGCAGGTTCTCCCCCGAGATGGGCCTGGGCTTCGTCTTGGCTATGGATAAGAATGAGACGGGGTATGCAGACATGGACTGGCGCGGACTGTTTGATAACTGCATGAGCCTTCTTCAGCAACCTGGCAACTTGGGCGACGGCTTCCGAAACCGACGACGCATATGGATCTGTCTGCAAGATATCGCCGCCACCGTCGAGATTCTCCTCACGTCTAGCGACTTCAATACGATAATCTACAACGTGCCCCGCCTAGCGTTTGATGGCTACCCTTTAGGACAAAGGGTCTCGTGTGCAGACCTTGAATATCGGGATCGTGCTGATCCGCAGCAGATTATGAAAAACAAGGACCCCAGGACACGCGCGCTACAACTTCAGCTAGATTCCACCACCATCGTCTCCTCAATAGAATATACAACTATTGTCTTTGAATCTGTGCCCTATATTTGCGGGCTAAGAGTTTCATTCCCGCCAGAAGGACTAACATTATCCGAACAACACCATGAAGTCGGTATATTACTCCCCTCTCGCACAAAAAGCGTACCTATCGAGAAAGACATAACATTGTCAGATTTTTCCGTATGCTACTCCCCGGATGGAATCCATGGCTTTTCAATCTTCACAAGGGATGCAAACGGACGTCTCGATAGGCTGTGCATCGGGCAGACAGATGCTGTCTATCCACACTCAACTAATAAGACGTTACCTCGGTCCTTAGGCTCAGGTCCTATACTAGGTCTGCTCCTCGAGTTTGACGTACGGCTGATTACTATCCATCCCTAAGTATCTTGACTTTTATCTGACTGATTCTTCTTCTCCAGGCAGTGAAAATAATGTCCATGCAGCTCATATGCGATTTCCCCCCTGCACCAAAGCCATCAAGAGGGTTATCCGCTTCTCTCGTTACCAAAGCTCGAGAATCGTCGGCGAGAAAATACGAAGCTGTCAAGAGATTTTTTGGTAGGCACTGAAGCGACCAAGGAGATGGTCTCATAACACTCCAGACTAGAAAAAGAAGGCTCCGATTCGAAGATGGGAGCTTATTCCATCATATCATCATGTCACGATAGGCGCTCAGGGTTCTTGATAGTGTTATATTAAAATATCCTCTACTTGTCATTTAATGTCCCAGAATTTCCTTCACTTCGTACGTTTTACGAGCGAATAAGAACCAAAGGGAAATGGTTAGAATGGCCACGGCGACAAGCACCGGCGAAGCATAGTTCATCTGGTCAGCGACGGCTGGAAGATAATATGGGAAACAGTAAAAGACCACAGCAACAGCACCCCAAGCGAGCATGACAATATTCGCGATGAGACCCAGCTTGGGATACCAGAAAGGCCCATGCGGGAAGTTAGCTCGGCCTTGCGTGATCATAAGCACAACGGGAATACTGTAGCTGATGTATTGGAGCATGAGGCCCGTAGAAATGAGGGAATTGAACGCCAGCTCGGATCCAAGATATAGGCAACCAAATATAGCGGTAAATGTGCTCGACATCACCATCGACCAGACTGGTGTATAGAAAGGTGCAGGCGCAAGCTTGCTGAGGTGCCGATGTAGCGGGAAACCAGCTTCACGGCTTATAGTCCATGCGATGCGAGACTGCCATGTCTGAATAGACCACACTGCTCCGGCCGTGGTGATCAGAACTGGTACCCAGAGGCCAACAGCGGCTGCTTTGCTGCCAGTAATTTGATAGAACAGGGCCACGGCGGAGTTGTCCCCAGATCCATCGATGCTCTCGACGTTGATCAGCACGGACATAATCACGAGGAGGCCCGACACAAAGCCGATGACGATAGTCCAGATGAGCGCTTTGGGGATGTTGGTTTCAGGGCTGGGTATCTCCTCGGCAAGATGGGTGGCGACGTCGAGACATGAAAAACTCCAGTTGGCACCGTTCATGCCAATAATGAACGCAATACCCTTTTGCCAGCCAGTCACATTGACGGACGACACGAAGAAGTCCTTGGCAGTAGAGTGAGTCTTTGACATGGCGAAGAGTGAGATGAAGATCACGCCTATTGTCAGGCAACTGAACAGCAGCATCACTTTGGAGATTTTAGGGAGCGCATGCTCAAAAGTTGCCAATCCGAGAGTGAGGACATTCAGAATTTGATATCCAATAAAGATCATCCATCTTTGAACGACAAAATCGGGATTCAAAAGCGTGATTATCGAGAATATCCCTGCAGGAACGGAGAGACACGCCGAAGCACCTGTCGCTACCGCAGCGAGCCAACTGACCATGGCTGTTGCAAAAGACATGAATCGCCGATACCGGGGAGGAGCCAAACGGTTGACCCAAATATATTGCCCTCCTGGGTGAGGGAAAGCAGATGCCAGCTCCGCAAGGGTTGTGGCCGTAGCAAGACCGACGCCAGCCATTAACAGAAACCCCCAAAACACGAGCGGGGAGCCTCCCATTGGAAGCGTGCTTCCGAGGACTAGGAGAATGCCCACGGCGGTATTTGTGGTTCCGTATCCAATGCCAATGGCAGACAAGGTTGTGAAGGGCTTCTGTGTTTGTATCACGACACCGCCATTGTGAATTGACGACGGGGCTCTCTCCAGCTTTCCATTGTCAACCTTTTCATGTACAATGGGAGATTCCTTGGGCTCCTTTGTTGACGACGGGCCGTCTCGAGATGAGTCGTTATCCATGACGTTGTGTGTAACAATAGTGAGATATGACACGAGTATCAACGTCCTTCACATATAATTGTCAACCTGCATATGTATTCGGGAAGAAAGGTGGGCCGAGATCTAATTTATAGAATCAGACAGCCACTCCATCCTGATCATCTCGTGATAAGGGTGGAGAGGAATGTTCACATCCGAGCCACTAGGCGGAATGTGGCAAGTAGGTGCGATCTCCCCCGCCATCGGAATTACACTGAGACATCCGTGAGATAATCCTGTTACCCCGCAAGGGTCTTATCTGGAGCACGTCGGCTGGGCCTTTGTCGTGTGATGTGGTGATTCATGGGCATCTCCGGCCTTAACCGATCAGTGAAGAGGTAATACAGTCGACAAGCATTGGTTTTATCAAGTCATGAGATCACAAAATGGAGTCACTTCCTGGAAGAGCGGTACATTCAAAATCACGCAACGGCTGTTTGCGTTGCAAGGCCAAGAAGGTGAAGCCTCTCCTTGGCATTCTTGATGGATCTATCCCATATACTGACCACGTACTGCTAGACAAAATGCGACGAGAGGAAACCCGCTTGCGCCCGCTGCGAGAGTCGCGGGTTCCAATGCCCTGGTTATGCATTGAATGTGCGATGGTCCCAAAAGCATCAAGGCCAAACAGAGAGACCATATGCCAGAGGCCAGAGGGCAGCCAAAAGTCCGGACGCCGTCTCATTCCGCAATATGCAGGCTGAACCCATTGCTCCGGGACATACTACCCATGCTGCCAGTGATACAGGCCCGGGCAGTCTGCATTCCGGCTCACTGATCAACTCTCCTTCAGCTTGGGACTTCCTATTACCAGATCAACTCTTTGATTTCCAGGCCTCTTCCGAACAGTCATTCATGGTTGGCGATGATCCGTCAGCTACAATAGCACACAATGCCTTCTTAGGTTGTACTTCTGCAGAATCCGTATGGGGTACCACCAGCGACGCCTCTACAGTTTCGCCAACTGTTGACACAATGCTCTCTCTAGGGCAAAGGCGCCTACCAGATCCCAACCTAGCTCTGTCGACCCTTATGGAACGACCTACTTCCATGCAGTCTTCCTTTGGGATGCAGCTTGATGTCAGCCGCATAGCCGCAAGTCCCCCACGCGAGCTTTCTCATATGCCCACTGTTCTAGCGGAGCATTTCTTCCGTGAGGTCATCACCCTGTATTGCACCTGGGATAGTAAATCAAACACGATGCGGAATATTGTTGAAAGAAGGTGGCAGTCATCAGGGGTTCTTCATCACACTATCCAAAGCATGGCTGCAGCATGTCTGTCAGAAGATTTCCCCCATTTCGCCCCTATTGCGGCCAAAGAACACGCAAATGCCCTTCAGTACATCCAAGATATCTCGTCACCGTCATCTACACCAAGCGAGGAGAAACTTTTAGCGTCGACAATGCTGGGGCATACGGCTAGCTGGCTCAACCCCCAAAATCTTGCGACAGACATGTTCAGAGTCAGCTGTGACATGGTCAGGGAGCTTCCTACAGATGGCGAAGATGCCGACTGCAAATCATTCTTCAGCGACACCATGGATTACTGGGCAATGCTCTTGGTCTATTTGACAGACAGAAAGAACCTCGGCACCTATACAACTGAGCCAGAGGTACCAGTCACGGGAACCTCTGATCCGTCTGAGCCCATCGAGCCTCATCCTTATTCAGGCCTTTCAAGAGAGACGGTGAAGCTCCTCACAGAAGTGGGAATGCTCATTTTTCAGTATCGAAAGCACATATCTAATGTGAAGTTCATGACGGAGAGAGATCTGGACGTCTTTCGACAGTCATTGCGGGACGCACGCCGATTTGAACGGAGACTGCTCGCTCACCGCACACCTCACCTCTCATTCGTCAAAGATACGGGGGATCCCAAGACCTCCCTGATCCATCTGCAACTAATTGACGAAGCCTACAGGTGCACAGGTTTGCTACAGCTTTACCGCGTGTTCCCCGATCTGTTGAATGAGCGTTATGCTCCTTGGGATGAGCAGCTTATTCTCCAGCCAGTCCCTTCTGAAACGGTCCCCAGCGCCCAAGAGAGGCAGACTTGGTTGACCAAACTGGCCATTCATATCTTGAATATCCTCCGGGAGATACCGTTCGAGTCCCGAACCCGCAGCGTGCAACCCTTCATCATGGTCTCATCTGCAAGCGAGCTCAAACATGACGATTTGAGTCACGCGGATGGTAATCTGGGTGTGAGTCAGTTCTCGATCGAAGTAGCGCGGGCACGTAAATTCATAAGCTCCCGGCTGGCAGCATATACTCATATTTTGTCTTTGCGTAAGATAAGAGTTATCTTCGAACTGATTCGGTCAATCTGGTCGGCGCTGGATGCTGGAGAGAAGGATGTGTATTGGTTGGATGTGGCGTATGAGAAGCAGCTTGGAACGATGATGGGCTGAGGGAAGAGGGGGAAGTTTATTCGTTATCTAGTTAGGAAGTATACATCTGATTTCCATCCTACAGCTTTGCCTGTCTAATATTATCAGGAGGTGGAATGCTAGAAAACTTCGATACTGTCTCCTCCGGCGTCAATGTGTTTTTAAGTCGGTCCTCCGTGAGGAGAAAGCATTGTGGAAACCACTCGCTCACGTCTTCCCCAAGCATAATTCGCACCAAAGCCTCGCCTGTTAGCCAGCATTTATCCATGCCGTATCCGTTGAAGCCGGCAGCGATCCACTGCTGGCTATCTGTCGCTTCGCCCGTCAAAGATTCGAGAATTTTACCAACGACAGGAATATTATCTGCAGTATGACCTTGGGTTCCAGACCATATAGACTCGATTTCGGCTTTCTCTTCAGTGCCCCAGCCCTCCAGGAATAGCTTCGGTAGGATCGTCGAAAGAGCGGCGCGTGCTTCATCAGGCACGTATGTATCATCCGAGGTGAGTATATTTTTGAGATACGCCGTCTCATTCCCGATCCATATTCGCGAAGTCAAAGGGTTTTCTTGTAAATAATACAAGCCCGTGATATACAGACCGGTTCGCGGATCCAAGGACGGCTTGTGAGAGAGGCTCCAAGATCTGGATCCTTTGCCGCTCTTGAGGTAGGGGCCCGGCTTCTGTACACTCATTGTCCCGCGGAAAGGATAGATGCGGCCAGCCAGTTTCGGTAGAAGATGAGAAGCATGTCCATTGGTGCAATGAATCACTCGCTTGGCTTTGATTGTTCCTCTAGGTGTCGTAATCCTATAAGGATATTCCTTGTCTTTCGCCAGATGCTGCACAGCTGTGGCAGGTGTGTGAGTTTCAATAGCCAATCTACTAGGGTAGTTCTTGAGTAAACGCTCGAAGATACCAGTTATCAGCCTATACGGCCAGACCGCACCAGCATTATGCTCAACCGCCCCAACACTATTCTTGATATTCCACCTCTAGAGGTTGATTAGCCCAAATCCCAATGCACATCAGCGCGTATAACTCATACCTCAGGAACTGCATCTTGTTCGACAATGGTGTGATACTTGTTGTGCTCTGTGACATTCTTTTGGAAGTTGAGAACGGAACTAGTTGCATTTGCCCAAGTCTCTTCGTCTCCCACTGCCATTACTTTCAACACATCGCGCAACTGACAATGATCTTGGAACTCTTGGTCCATCTCTCGCACCATCTTCATGATAGCTTTAATGTTCAGAAGACTGAATCTCGTCACCTGCTTTGCCGCTTCAATCCCATGCTGCTCAGCCAACGGCCCAAACGTGTGCCCCGACGCTGTGACCAGGTGTCCACCGTTGCGGCCTGTAGCGCCGCTCACGAGAGTTCGCGCTTCCAAGACTATCACATGGACACCGTGTGTGGCCTCGTGCTCTAAAAGTGTCTTGGTGACGCTACATCCTGTGATTCCTGAGCCGATAATAACAACATCTGTGAATTCTGGGAGTGTCGTCGACTGGATAGATGCCACGGTAGGATGCTCTGGTACCTGCCAGGACGACACGGTTGGGTTATTCCGAGGCAGACCGGGATCTTCCAAAATGGCTTTGGAAACATACTCCAGCATTGCACTATTTGGGTCTAGACATCCATTGCGACTGAAGTGAGCTGGATACTCTAGAATTTCCAACATCAGCTAGACTCACCTCGGCGGGTTGACGTATGCACTGCTTGTTGGTCCGGGATCGTCATTTTCAGTGATAAGATTCTCCAGGTCGAAATTTCGTCTAATGATGCCGGAAGCAGACTTGGGCTGCAGGTTTAGTTCGCCGTTACGACGCCTTGAAATGAAGGAAGATACGCCTTCACACTTATTGGGTTTCGCCTATCAGTTCTTGGATCCGCTGGTGCGGGGAATGACAAGAACTCGGAAACTCAAAACTTCCAAAGATGGAAAGTCGATCCGAACAAATCCACTAGTCTTCTAGGCAGACCCGGACAGAAGAGCGCTGATACTTGCTGAGTCCGGATTCAAGAAGCAGGAAGCAGGAGCAAATGGCCTTTTCACCTGTCTAAGGGAATATAAAGCGAAAATTACTGAAGTCAGAGTTCGGTTACAGAAAGCTACAGAGGTAAAACAGGCCATAGGCTTATCAACTAATGTTCACGGTCATCTCCCATTCCCGGGCTTCGCATGGGGCTCTCTCATCATGGTAAAGAGCTTAATAGCAACCCCGTCATCATCGCAAATCATGTCCTTGACAAATTTGAACCCCCAGCGCCCATATATAGCAATATTGGGGTCATCACGACTTGACTCCAGATAGCACTTCATATTTTCGGCATCAGCTTGGTCCGTCACCTGCTTCATCATAGCAGCTCCGACTCCCTTTCCCTGCGTTTCAGGAAGAACCACCATGATGTTCAGAAAGTAGTACCCCCTTGGATCGTCCCATATTTCAGACTGGACTTTTGCTTGGGCATCCTTCCAGATATAATACCGCTGCAGGGAATAAATGGTTAGAGCTAATACGCCTCAAGAAGAGGAGATGGTTTCCTTTTACCTTAACGTTCAACCCGCCACGTCCATAGTATAGATTCATCCCTACTTGGTTGAAATAGAGCCTCCATCCTTCCAACCAGTCGTTCCAGGTCGGTGGAGCATTGGCTGGCTGTGGCCGCAGCCACATGGCCACGCCTAGAACCTTGTCGTTGCCTTCTTCCTTTGCCACGTGGAAAATGCCATTTCGCATGCCCCATCTCATGCGTATTCCAAGAGAAGTGGCGTTTCGTTGTTGATTGAACTACAAAATTGCAGTAATTAGTACGCATTCTCTTCATGCGGTGCTCAATGCATTACCTTGGAGTGGTCATAGACCCATTCATTGTAGGGATCATTTTTGAAGGCATCTCTAAGTGCGAGTTAGTACTGCTTCACACGCCAGAGCTGCGACTACCCCGTCGGTCGTGAATAAAAGTTACGTACTGCACAGCTGCAACAGCCCCGGGAATGTCGGCCTCGGTGAGGTTGGAGATTTTGATGACCATTTCAGGCTGCCACAAGAAAGATTGGTAAGAACAATTGCTTCAGGATATGCACCACACGGCGGTGTCAGCGATACTACAGGACGATATATTCCCCCAACAGGGTCAACAGGGTAGTAAACAGGGTAGTAAATTGCTATCATGTGGTTTCCTGCCAGGATCAATCTCAGCTGCATGCTGAGGGGAACAAGCATCTCGCATCCGTCCCCAGCTCGCATAGACTTTCCCAGTTTGGTAAGTCTGTCCTCTTAGTCCTGGTTGGACAGACTCTGCTCCAGCAAAATGCAAAGTTGGGCCACGCATCGGCCGAACACAAAGGAGGGGTCACTAAAAGCTAAAGCCGATAACAATCAGAATAGAGACTCATATTAATCTCTTATCCGATGGGTGTCTAGTGGTGAGACGAGGGGCATCAGAGCCAACGCATGCACGACCTGAAGGGCTGAAACAAGTGAAGAGGTCTGCCATGCATCTACTCATCGCTTCGCTTTTAGCATTAACCACAGATCAGTCGAAGCTATCCATTAATTAATTAATTCATTGCATGTTCCTGCAAATTCTGTCACAGCTAACTCTGCTCCAGTTGGCAGCAGGACTGTATATCACCCAAGTTCTAGGAAGGGCCTGTGATATCCCCATCTAAACCGACACCAAGTCACACAGTATTAAGAGTAATTGTAATCCAACCATAGAAATTTTCATCGAACAATTGGGCCGCTTGCCTCGCCCTCCTTCTTCGTATCCTCGTATGTGATTGTGATCTCGTTGACCCTGACAATATTGCCATTCCCTTGTAGCAGAATCGTCTCGTCGCTGTCGTTCTTGATCGTGGTCTTGGTCATGGTGCCCGCTATGGCCTCAACGTCGTCCTTGTCGCTACGGCTGGTAAATGTATTCGTCTTCTTACCGCCGCTCTTCTTGCTGCGAGAATATGAGCTGAGCTGGTAAGGACCAGTGCCTCCGTAGCCCGAGGAGTTGTGCTGTTGGTAGCCGCCACCCGAGCTCGAGTCGTGACCACGCAGCTTGTTCCAAAGAGGACGGAATGACCCGATCGTCACGCAGACGATGGTTGTCGATACTTCGGTAAATGTCCACATGTAGTTGTCCGATACGGCATCTATTTAGAAAGAACGATTAATGTCGACAATCAACAATGTTGGTGACGCAGATGGGTAGCTTGACATACAGAGATAGTCATCAGTCCGATTCAGAACATTAAGTCCAGAGGTTCGGATGACACCACAAATTCCAGCACTGTTCATCGGGAGAATTTGTTAGTATGTCATTATGCGGCCAAATGGTCGACGAGAAATAACCTACAAAACGCCCAGACTGAGAGAAATGCAGATAGTAATGCGCTCCTTTCTCTTCATGTTGAGATTCCGGAGAGCTATCCAGGGGAATGCAGCCAGAACGAAATCCAAGAAGGCGGCGTATGCTATTCAGAAGGATTAGATTGGTCAGGTTTCTTGTCTTCACACATTTACGCTGTTGAGACGACCAGGGGAGCCACTTACAACAGTCCACAAAGGCGAGGATTGTGAGGTTGATGTGGCAGACCTTCTTGTCTGCCAAAAGCGGATTCCATATCGACTCTACAGGTGAGCACTGAGTAAACACAGCAATGCTAAGAATAAGACTCAGTAGCATCATTGAACCAATGCAGAACCATAGAAACCATCGTTGCCTAGGTCGGGGTGCTCAATATCAGCAACAGAACACTTGATCGATGAGCGCTTCCGCATTAGGGGAAGGAAAGCCTACCAAGTAGCAGTCACGATGCGCAGCAAGAAGGTAGCTACGATCACCTTGCACATTCCGATAGCAAAAGCCGCAATGACCTGTGCGCAGGTAATATAGAACACGCCGTCTGCGAATTGCTCAGTCGTAAGGTCAGCGTAATGCTGGCCCATTCCATGGCCGACGCCCACGGATGTCAATGCACCGAAAATCACCATCAGGAGCTGTATGGTTGGTAATGTTAGAATTTTAAACGCGGATACTTCATCCATATGTTGGAATCAGGGTGTATGAGATAGACCAACCCAAGTGACGATAAGCCAATAGTCATCCCATCCGACTTTCCCCCTGATGAAATGTCGAGTGTAAAATCGGAGGCCGATTAAGATCAGGGTCAAAAAGTTCTCGGCCCAGATTACAGCGAGAACTGTTCCGCCTCTCCCTCCTATTCCAGCTGGCTGTGTCATGTTGATCTGGTCGAATCGCTTGTTTTTCTGAACAGAGAGAGGCTAAGGGAAAAGAGGGGAATTTGAGGCGAGGATGGTTTTGTCGGCCCTCTACTGAGATCAGTGTAGTGTGTGGTTGGCCTTACACGCTCTCGTCTTTCAGGCGATATGGTAGAACATGTACCTTCACACGTACGATCATCAAAAGGAGAGTATCCCGATCGAGTGGAGTTGGAACTCGGCCACGAGGTGAATAAAAAGAAAAGAAAGTTCCCCGGAAAGGGCCAGAAAAGAAAACATCGGGATCATGCCTGTATAGATGGATGGATGATCGCCACAACCATTCATCGCGCCGCCCATTCACCTGCAGACTAGAGCACAAGCTAGCTAGGAACATGCATCGAGGACTTTCAGCTCCCACATGTTGGTGGGCGACACCCGGTGATTCGCATCTCGTGTCCAGGGGCCTAGCGGCGCCTCTCACTCCATGCCAAATTCATGCCACTGCACCCTGTGCCGAGAAACACCTCGGCATTGATTGTAGTAGTAATATTAGGAGATGAGCCTCAGATGGCTCTTTTCAAGATTACCGTGGCGGTTGTCGTCTTAGTTGCACACCGTCAGTGATGAGTGACTACAAGGAGCAATAGACCGCTTCCTGGAGACGTTAGACAACCGTCGATCAAGTCCAGACCTGGTACAGGCAAGTCTGACCGGTGAAAATGCGTGATGAGACATGCAAGTCCATTGGTCTTGCCAACAAATATTAGAAGCAGGCCTCGTGGCCGGGGAACAGGGCTAACAAGAGCGATCTGCAGCTAGCACCCTTTGCATAAATGGAATGTGCAGATCCTGAAATTCCGAATGCTTCACTAGCGTAGGGCCAGAGCCAACCATGAGACCAGTCTGAAATGAGAACAAGCCATCAATTGGCCACAGGAGGCCGCTTGCGTGTCCGTTGTTGCTAGCGCTCCTGCACATAACTTGGTTTTGGCTGTACCATGACTCGCCCGAGCTGACTCTTCCAGCAAAAGCCCCTGAACTTGCTTGGATACCAGAGCGAGCTAATGGTAAGTACGATCGGGTTGTCTGTAGCCGGCAAGTCCCCTAAAAAGGACTTTCCGGGGAAGCCCCTGAGCCATGCGAATAGCAGCACCCGCTTACTTTCCGGCATGACTTCCGGTATGATGTTACCACAATGTTCCCGGCACATCTTTACGCGATGATTGAATGGGCGGCCTCATTCAAAGGACGGGATGACATTCCGTCCAATGTTAAAGTAGTTATTCTCATCCCAATATATTACCCTTACCCAGATTGAGTATGCTCAGCGCAAGCTACTGACGAAACTACTCTCCGGCAGGTAGCTCTTCTCTCCCCTAATCTAGATGCCTACATTTTTCATTCAACTTCTCGTACATAGTGTGTTCCTTCGTACTTTGTGGCTTGAGTTGATCGTCATGCCAAAATTTCGCAGACGGCTACCTCATGGTGAAACAACCACATTTTTCAATCCTCATGCTATGCCAGAATAGATCCCTCCGATTCCCAATTAAGAAAGAGATGTAAGAACTTGACCTGACGGGCTCAATGCGTCGCCGGATCATAGCAATCAATCATCAGCCAAGTGGCTTAACATCCCCGTCAATAGACGGCCGGTTCGCTAACCGAATCTACCGAGCCTCTATTCAAAGCTGCGAGGGAAACTTGGCGTAAAGATCGTCCTCCACATCCATTGCAATGTGCAAGGTCCATCGGTGGAGATTGCATCAAGCACGACAATCTCATCCGTAGTCCTGGGACGTGCTCCCCAGATCTCCAAAGACCCAGTCGAACAACCCTAATTAGCTGGTCTCTATCCGTACATGGGTCGCGCGTTTGCTCCAGGGCGATCCAGGAACCAAAGAGGGGCAGATGGCGAAAGATCTCCGCAAGGCTCGCCATCGACAATCGCCAGGAGGAAATGGCCCGTGAGTACGGCAACGCTATCGACACATTGGGAAGAAGCCGACGAACACGCCAGGGATCTTCGGGCGATGGATCATGGTGCCGAAAGCCGCCTGAGATTTCCAAACTGATCGTAGCTCGGCGATTCTCGGAAATCACTCGTACGGGCTTGGCTAGCTTAGAATTGTTGTGTCAGGACTCTCGCAGGCTCTGACTCTACCATGCTTCGTATCTTCCGTGATATTCTACTTTCTTTCATTCACGTAGCATTGTAAAACTTTTCTTACCCGAGAATCGTTCAAAGAGGTTCTTCGGAAGTACAAATGAGCCACCGCAAAATCCAGGTAAAAAAAAATAAGTTCCCCATCACCAATGAGGATCCATTGTCTATGATATTCTAGTAGAATTCCTCGAATACACGAGGCTTCTCTTCAACCTCCTCTATCTCCTCATTACAGGCTAGTCTCGGTAATAGAAGTCTTCCGGGCATGCATTCATTTGAGGCTGGTCTCCTACACGCGAGTATCACTTGAGCGAAGCTCTCATGTATCACAGTAGTTGAATGATTATGGATCATCGTCGTGTTCTTGGGTCTTCATTTATGCTAGAAAACTACAATTGGTGCTTTTTTTTATTCCATTTCGTGAGTTTCTTTTTTATTTCATTTCTCGCTCAGCCTAATGCTCAAATCCAACACCCAGAGGACCATTGAGATCCCTAAAGTCGCCACGTAGAACTTCAATACCCTCTCTACGAACCTCCTCAACAAGATCCTTAATCTTAGGTGCCATGCTTGCTGGAACATATCCAAAATACTCATAAGCAGCCTTAGATGGCAAGCTCTTTCCGAATCGGCGCATGGAGAAGGACGCGTCGGCGTAACGCTCCCATCCATTAGCAGCGTATGCTTCGATCACCACGGTGGGCTTGCCGGAGCGGGGCTTGAGGACCGACTGCTTGTACTGGCGGGACTGCTGCTCGAAGAGTCTGGGGCAGGGAAAGGAGACGACGCGGGCTTTGATTCCGTACTCGCTGGCGAGGAGATCGCGGGTCTCCATGGTGTAGCCCATCTCGGAGCCAACACCTATGAGAGTAACGTCAAAGTCTTCAGACTCGACGAAGACGTAAGCACCGCTGGCAACACCTTCCCGAGACGAGTTCTGTGGGAACTGGGTCAAGTTCTGGCGAGAGAGGGATATGATGGTGGGAGTCTCGGTGGCCTGGATGGCAGCGAGGAAAGCTCCTGTGACTTCTTCGGAGTCGCAAGGGCGGATGTAAAGGAGGTTAGGCATGGCGCGATAGAGGGCAGGAAGGGCGATGGGCTGATGGGTAGGTCCATCTTCTCCAGTGCCGATGCTGTCATGGGTGGCAATGTGAATCTGCTGAAGGCCCTGTAGGGCAGCCATGCGGATGGCGGGCGCAGCATAGAGGTAGAACATGAAGAAAGAGGAGGTGACAGGGAGGAAAGTGCCTTTTCTGAAGGCGGCCAGACCGTTCGAGATGGCGCACATGGCGTGCTCGCGGATGCCGTAGTGAATGTACCGGCCGCTGTAGTCACCATTGAGACCGCAGGCGGTCTTCAGATTGGGCTATTCACGTTGTGTTAGGGACTGGTGGCAGATACCAATTGTTCAAGTACTCACAGACTGAAAATCAACCTTCTGGTTGAAGGCCACATTGCAAGATGGGGTGAGATCAGCAGTACCAATCAGGAAGTTGCGCATTCTCTCGCCGAGAGGGTTGGTGATAAGTCCAGCAGATTTCCTGGTTGCAACAGGTTCTTTAGGGAGCTGCTCAGATGTCGGAATGCACTTAGTCCAGTCATCAGGCATCCTGCCAGCGACACGAAGCTGGAACTCGGTGCCGAGCTCGGGATTCTGCAGCACATACTTGCTAACAGATGCGTTCCACTCGGCCTCGTATTCTTTACCACGAGGACCTACATCTTTGAAGAAGTCGTAGACGTCCTGGGGAATCTGATAAAACTCCTCTGGGTTGAGGCCGAAAGAGGTCTTGATGCTGGCAATATCGTCAACACCCAAAGCAGCACCATGGGTCTTAGCACTGCCCGCCTTGTCAGAGCCGAATCCGATGGTTGTTCGGATGTTAATAAATGTCGGCTTATCAGTAGATTGACGTGCAGCGATGAGGGCATCAGTGATGGCTAGTAGTGAGGGTTAGCATATATTGTGCAACTTCATTTTCTGCGTAAGGGGCGCTTTACCCTCAATATCCGAGTCTCCGTTGGCGACATCAATGACATTCCATCCCGTGGCCCTCATCTTTGCATTCATATCTTCAGTGTTGGCAACATCAGCAGTTCCATCGCAGGTGATATTGTTGTTATCATAGATAACGCAAAGGTTGTTCAACCTCCAATGACCTGCGAGGGAAACTGCCTCAAGACCAACACCCTCCTGGAGGCAAGCATCACCAATCATACACCAGGTCATGTTGTTGACAACTTCGATGCCGTCCTTATTATAAGTGGCTGCCAGGTTCTTGGTGGCTATGGCGAGGCCGACAGCATTAGCAACACCCTGGCCAAGGGGTCCAGTAGTGACTTCGACACCCTCATTCTCAATCTCAGGGTGTCCAGGGCAAATAGAATCTGTGCGGCTGGAGTGATATGATTTAAGCTGGTCGAGAGTCATGCTCTTGACACCAACAAGGTGCATAAAGACATATTGCCATAGACAAGCGTGGCCTGTAAAAGATCTGTTAAGCGGACTTCCCAAAACCTGGGACCTAAAATGACTTACCGTTGGATAGAACGAAACGGTCACGGTTGAAGTAATCGCAGTTCTGTGGCGAGTACTTCATGACATATTTGTAAAGCGAAACACCAATGGCAGCCATTCCCATAGCAGATCTGTTTTTACTCCGATTAGCAATGCTCTCGGCCGTCGATGATCAAATGTTTTAGGGTCAGAGAATGCATACCCCGGGTGTCCACCATTGAATTGCTGGCAAAGATCCGCAATGAACGCACGGAAGACTTTGAGGACTCTGTCATGCGTCTCAGTGCTCTCGAGCTTGATGCCCGAGGCTACGGCAGACTTGGTGCTCTTAAGAGGGTTGACGGGCAGAGATTCTGCTAACTTGTCGAGAACTTCCAGTGAGGGCGCCATCTTGAGCTCGGAAGAGTACGTGTTTGCTCAGCTATCTTATGTAATTAGTCTGTATAGCCCTAAGGAGATCAACCAGGGCTGGATAATTTCGAGTTTAGAGACAAAGACTGTTCAGTGAATGGAGCAAAGTAGATGCCTATGCCATCAGGATGGCTTATTTATGGACTCGGGCATCTTCCTGTCCTTGTACATCGAACATTGCAACGAGAGGCTTAGAGTCTTGTGACGTTGCATATGATCGAACGATCCCCATGTCTTCGAGACGAAGCCAGGCATTTTACCAGATGAAGGAGTAGCTCCCCCGCGAACATTATCTCCACACGGGGAAGCAAACAGAGGAGGGCTCGATGAGGAGATGGTGGAGGCGGGATGTGGAGAAACGCGTCTTCGATGCGAGGCCAGTCTTGGCCAGTCAACAAGCCCTGTAGTTTACTGACTAAGCTGGACTCGAAGCGAGACCAGGGCGTGTTTCAGACTGCTACCGTCCAGTGAGATACGAGTTTTGTGCTTCACAACGTTCAGGGGTGCAAGCTAGCAAAACCAAATCATGAAAAATATAACTTTTCCCTAATTATTGATCCTTTCATCCATAAGACGTCACTACTTTGCGGTAGTGTTAATTCGGGCTTAAGGATTTTCTAACACAGGGTTGTGTTCTATTGAGTCCACATCGCGGGACATCATTTCTATAACGGTACCCAAAAAAGCCATGGTCGGATGGATTTACTTAATCGGAGCAAGTAGCTGAAAATGACACCACTTTTGAGCGAAGCCTTCTATCAGAGATTAACCTCATATGTTTTGACTTGAAGCTCACATTTTGCAGTTGTAAATGGTCCATCAAGAGAGGGCATCGCAGTGACATTTATTGGGCTATAGGGTAGTTCGACTCTCAAACCAGCACCCGGCCAATTCTCGCTCGCTTCCTTCCGATCTGATCTCGTTAGGTCTCTTACAGAATGCCCCTGAGCGAGTCACATGACTGCAAGTCACCTGAAAATGCACGTGATAGCCCAAAAAGCCACGATGCACCTTGTTTGTTGCATCGAAAAGAACCAATGATATGTGTGCACAGAAGACACCTTGAGGGCATCGCTACCAAGACCTAAGAAACGCCCAACAGGTTTCCCCCGGATTAGCCCAGAGCCTGTAATTTCAGCCGGCTGGCCGTCTGCTCGTGCAAAAACTGCGTCAAACTGACGATGCCTTGGCGGGTGAAGCCGGGGATGAGATGAAAACTGGGCCCGGCCTCTCCCGATCGTACGACACACCAACCACTTTCTGCCTGCGTCGCCCGGCCATTGCATTGCCTGCTGCATTTGGGTGCTACGCAGCCGTCACGAGCGCCACAGGATTTGCTGCATGACGCTGGACCGAGAAAGATCCGGGCGCATGTCTCCGTCATGAAACCCGGGAGTCAGCGCAGTGGCACTCTGATCAGCCCACAAGATGCAGACTGCCGCCGACTGGCCAGCCAAGATCCATTCCATCTGCCGATATTCTCGAATTAGCTTTGCTAGCCTTGGTTTGTGTAATTCTATAGATAGAGGGGCGCTCTCCCCAGCTTCTAATAGACAGATCAGATTCATACCCCAAGCCAAGATTGACCAAAGCCACTGATCAACTCACTTGCAAATCACATCACATCAAACATGCCTTGCACATCATTGATTGAAGCCCAAGCTCAGGACATCACGCCCAAGAAGGGTGTAACGTCCCTCGCACACATCCCTGACCCTGCCCACCTGGCCGGACTCCTCTACGCTGGCCAGAGCCACATCCACGCCCGCGCTCACGCCCACGATGACCACGAGCACATCATCATCAACCCCATAGGCGACCATGGCGTCGACCACTCTTTCCCATCCACAGGGATTCACACTCCCCTGACCGAGCATGACGATGAGGAGGCTGTCCTTAGCGACATCGCCTCCGAAGACGAGTCTGACTTGGAGATCCCACCCACAACCCCAATCAGCGAACGCCGCCACCGAAATGCCACCTCTGTATCCTCAGACGACTTCGAGTTCCCCATCTTCTTGGGCCGACAAGACGAAGAAGCCGTCCTGAGCGATATGCCATCAAAGCGGGAATCAATGTTCGAGATCCCCCCGTCGTCACCCATCAGAGAGCGTCGCCACCGAAATGCCACCTCTGTCTCATCAGATGATTTCGAGTTTCCCACCTTCCTCGGCCGACAAGACGAGACCAAGGTCCCCCGATACGCTGTGCACACCATCGATGCACCAGTGAATAAGGCGGTTGAGACCAAGAAGTCGGTTGACAACTCATGCCCCATCCTCGCCCCCAAGTGCCACCCAGTCAGCCTCTCCGGCCCTATGATGTCGTGGTGGCCGTCGCCCGTCGAGGCCATGGACTGTGGCTGGATCGACGAGAGGCAACAAGCCGCTTGTATGGAAGAAAGCCTCATGCAGGCTTGGCTTCGCACGCCCAAGGATATATTGGACAATGAGTGGTCGGAGAGCTTTTATGAGTAAGGTTCACGGGGCGACGATGAACCAATTTTGCATTTTCTTCTCTTTTAGCGTACTGGGTTTGGGCATCAAAGGTAAACATGAAAGGAATTGCATTGGGATCAGGCGTATTGGAATGATTCCCAAACCAAGTGTACAACAAGGGAAATTAGCATAGACACGGGACGGACATGATTTATTTTGAAACATTGATAGACGCAATTCAAACTTGAACAAACTTTGAAAGACATAAAAATTTTTTCATCTGTCATAAGACCTTTTGCAACAGCATGCGTGCTCTAGCAATTTGGTGCTAATACAACTGTCGTATCCAACGACCCGGTTTATATGTAGCTGCTATAAACAGTAAGATGTCCGACTTCTGAAACACATGAATTAATCTTATTGTATGATCAGATTATTCTCATACTTGATGATCTTCTCATGGCGCCGTACAACCAACGAATTTGGCACCAGCCTTGTGAAAAACTTTTTCTTGCGATATTCGAACAAACTTGTAGGAATGTACTTTGGCGCCATCTTCCGGCTGCGGTGCTGTAAATTTTTAATAATTGGCCGCAGCTTCTTCTCATGATTGACCAGAGCCTGGGCGACGTCCTTCGTTTTTGTAAGCTCAACGCTCAGGAGCTCTGCCGAGGCTAGAGCCATACCTGCTCCCTTGTTGGACAAGAATGAAAGGCAGTGTGCTGAATCGCCCAGGAGCATGATGCGGCCCTTAGACCAGTGCTTAAGCTTAACCATGGCTAGAGTGTCAATAATCGGCGTGGACCCCGACTTTTCTGCGCGTTCGAGGGCAGTTTTGACAAGAGGAGGCGCTGTCTTTGTGATATCACGGAGAATTTTGAATCCCAACTCTCGATCTTGCGGCTGGGTTGCCCCATCCTGCCATACATGGAGAGCCGCTACTCGCTCGTTCCTCAAGTTAAAGAACTCGTCGATGCGTCCATGGCTGAGGAAGCAGTCGCAAGCGGACTGGGACTTTGCTTCATCGTCAACAGCGTCAAGCTCATAGGTTGCGTAGGAATATCCAAGTTGGTCAAGACAATTCTTGCCTTTCCAAAGCCGGTCTCTAATAGTAGAGCGTACCCCGTCTGCCCCTATGAGGAGATCTCCCTCGAGTGTTTCGCCACTCGCAAGTGTTGCCCGAACTTTATCGCCTTCATCTAGCACGTCCGCAACTGTCTCTCCGAGGCGAATAGTGGCGGACGTGGGGAGAGCCTGTAGAAGAGCTTGAGCAAGGTCGCCCCGGCACAGGTTGATGCCGGGAATGCCGTGGAAGTCCTCGCATCGCAGACGAACCAACTCCTTTCCCTTGCGGTCCTGAATTGTGGCCTCATCGAAGGTGTAGATGATTGGTTTTAAATTGAGGTCCATCTTGCAGACGGTTTTGTACCCGAGACCGTAGAGACTCATCATATAACCACCATCTTGAATGGTCGAGGATTTGTCGATCAAGATAGATGACCAGCCTGCTCTGTCCAACCACCAAGCCGCCGAAAGACCAGAAATCCCAGCACCGACGATAAGTGCTCTTGGTTTGTTTTCCATCGTGGTAGGCGTTTGTCCTAGGTTCAATGTAGCGTGATTCGGAGTTCGGGCGCTGGGTGTTTTACAGGAACGAGGGTTATCACGGAATGGATTAAGGCTGCATTTTATACCAAAGCAGGCGGAGCCAGAATCTGCCCGAGCCTGACTGATGGTTGCCAAGTTTGGTGAATTGCTAGTGTGGACTGTTCAACGAACAGAAGTTAGATGCATGGACTAATTGCCTGGCTCGCCAGTGAAAATCGCTTGCTTTCACGAATTGCATTGCCTGCGCCAAGTTGAATATGAAAACATACTAACAAGTGATTCAAGGCCGAATCTATCAGAAAACATCTTGATGGGAGATTGTTGGCCAGGCAAGTGAACGGCGTAGTATATAGCAGCCGCCTTATCGCCCATTTACTTTGTTTGACCCTCTTGTCGATCACCTGAAACGGAAAGATTGGCAAGATCATGTATCACGAGAAGGTTCTCCAACTTGGCGTGTTAGAGCTTTGTGCACTAGCCGAAACAGATATGCTTTCAGGCAAGCCGAGATCGATGATGATGGATCCTGATATTGAATCTTTGTGTGTCTCGGTTGTCCCGCTCGAGAGCAGAAGAATGGAATGCTATTGAAGAAGGAGTTAAGCTTGGACCATACCATTGTAGAACACCAGACTGTAAGTGAAACGGAACGCCAACTTGAATAACAAAGCCTTTGGGTTTATGCATTGTTCCAAAACAACATCCTGCTTTTCAAAGCATTGGAATTCGGACGGAAGAAGAAAACCCAAGCCCTTTGTGATGATGAACTAGAACCCTTTCTGCCATTAGCTTTCTTCGAAGACAAGGCGGGATAAGTTTCTATCACCACTTCTTCTTACCAAGAAATTACGAACAGGTTCCCCTTCAACTTCCACGTTATCTCTTATGTTTTTGAACTCCTCCCCAAGAAAAAGGATCATTCACGTACAACTGAACATTGTTGCGATCATATTAGTCGGTTATGCGATAGCCTTCGTTCAACTATAAAGAGCTGAATCTCCTCCCACTCAGATAGGAAGGGAGTCCGCCAGAGCACTCTCATAGGAAACCTCGCAGCGACCGAAATTTAAAAAAAAAAGACTATTCAATCTCTCAGTTCCGCGAAAATGGGGAAATTTGACCGATATGATTATGATGAGGACGACTGGTTTAATTTCACCCCTGGTTGTGATCCATCCCGCGGGCCGAAACATTGTTGCGAGCATGAAAGAGACCGAAGAAATTGCCGATCATATGTGAAAGTCTTCGCTTCACATGTTGACGCCTTCATCAAAGACTACCAGAAGGGAAGCACGTGGATTCCTCATGTCAAGGCGGTCACTTTCTATGGCGAGGAGAGGGTCGACAAAAAAGATGAAAACCGTTTAATTAAAGTACCGACTGTCACCGTGGGGAGGCTGGAAGATATCGTTTGCGAAGATGTTCTTGCGCCTGAAAATCAAGACAAAATCTTCTCAGGCCTCTGTTCCGTTTGGAATCTTATCAGCGAATGGGACATCAAAAAACCCATCACCCTGGGAATTTCAGGGCGCTATTTTCGGTCTAACGACAAATGTCTGACGGATTTAGCCCACCAGAAGAACATTGAGAGACTGGCGTGTGGGAAAGCGACATTTGCGAATCCGTTCGACGTACTGAATATGGCAAAACGTTTACCCGAGTTGAGAGCGCTTCGGTTACAGGTTCGACATATGAGCAAGGATATGCGAAACGAACTGGCGAACGACATGCGCACATGGAAGACGACTCTGCCTAAGCTCAGTGGATTGACACTCGTCGGGGATAAAGACGCTCACTCAAGAGGGGATGAGCGAAAGCTTGAAGATATGAGGGAGGATGGAGTTGATCTGCTCTGCCGAGAACTTCGAGCTTTGGCTCAGCAACATGGTTTTCTCGGTCTTGGACTGGAGTTTGTCCCTATATCCGCTGAACTTTTCGAAGACACTCAAAATCCTGGCGCTGAAATGAGGTGGCCAACCTTGAGAGTTCTGAGTCTTCGCGTTCATGAAATGTCATCCACAGGAACATGGCTGTTTTCCAAGGATCCTGCGGATAAAAAATCCGGTCTTGGGTATGTGGAAGATAAGAAAGCGAAGACTATCCATTTTGGGAAATTTTTCAGGAAGACTATCGCAGTTGAGAAAGAGATAGGACCCTTGGCCGAATTATTCGAAAGGACATGTACTACTGAGAAGATGCCGTACGTCAGCGAGGACAGCAAAATGACCTATGGTAAGGATGTTAATGGGCCCATCAAAGCATACCGAAAAGAAGAAGATCAAAGCTCCGTGGAATGGTTGATCAGGAATGGAACTCCATACTGGGAGAGTGAGAGTGAGAGTGAGTAGTAGATTCCTGAATAGTGTACATTGTTGCTATTGAAGCGATTATCTTATGAAGTTTCTTTTGTTATGAACGTGAAAGGTCTGAGCGCGAAAGTAGATGACTTAAGACTATGGTAGTGCCTGAGTAGTCGTCGTCCTCTTCATCCTACAATGCGAGATTCATTACGTTGAGATATGCGCTCTCTCTGCCTGTCCCCATTGCTGTTTTTCACACTCTACTCTAATCTCATCGATAGCGTCTGGGGCATTGTTATTTAATGCATAGAAGTGAAACCTGGACGCCATTCCCCGATGGTGTCATTTGATATTATGTTTAATATTCTACTCACAAGAGGAGTCATCATCTCCTTACCCCAGGTCTTGCTTGTCAACCATTCTTTTTTTCCAGATTCAGAAGCAATATTGAATGTTATAGCCTCGGGACTATATTGACTCCTCGATCAACTAAACCCAACTTAAAATAGGGGTTGATTTGAGCCCAGGTAGATAGATTGAGATTGGCCGGGAGAAATGTTTGATTCACTAGACGTCTGTAAGAAGATTGACGCTGGGCAATTATTTACCCGTCAATAATGAGAGCTCGGTATAAGTAGGATATGTTTCTTCTTCGGTTTCTGTCTGTCATAGAGGAGCACCACACACGGAGTCTGTTTATGACTACTCGAGGTCTTGTTCTAAGAGTCACGCTGAGCATCTCACTGTGAAAAACTTTTCTTTCGGTGTCTCTAAACTCTCTTAGACGCTGCCGTGGCCAATGAACGCAAAGGGGCTTATCTCAGACAGTCCGAGACAGTGCATTCCAGTCGACTGATGCGTGTGCGAGCTGTTGGCTTATCTAGGCTCACGACGGTCTTCATCCGGAAGAAAATCTTTGAGTGAGACTGGCACACAAATACCTGGCCATCTCGTGCGTCAGCCCCGGCTTACTTGGAGGTTATCAGCCCATCCGAGCTCCGATCCCAGAATGACCGGTGTGCTGGCAGTCCAGGTTTCGAAACCCGAGTAGCCTGTTAGGGCTAGATTGTGCGCCAATGGTAGGGATTCATGCAAAGCTTTTGAGCTTACAATCGTTACCGAGCTCCACTGCTCACTCAGATCCTGTCATCATTGACGGAGGTTATGTGGATGCAGTTGCGAGATGACCAACCAATCAGACATGCTGCTCTGTCACGACGACTTATTAAAGTACGCCGGGGCAGAACCTCGCGGTGAGCTAAACTGAGTCTCAGTATCTATCCATCCATCTCTTTGGAGGTAGGCGATAAAATGGCAACTGGACACGAGAAGAAGCAGGTCATCATCGTTGGTGGCGGAGTGACAGGTCTCACTCTGGCCCTATCACTGCAGCATCTGGGTATCGACTGGGTGCTCCTGGAGGCATACGGGAATGTTGTGCCAGCTGTTGGCAGCGGAATTGGGCTCTACGCTAACGGGCTTCGGATCTTGGACCAGCTGGGTATCTACCATAAGATTGCGGCCAGCGGCCAAACGACCGAGTCTATGAACTACATCGATGGCACCAAGGGCGAGCTGATGATGAGACGCATCCTCAAGCACCTCATGGTCAAACGGCATGGATACGTCAACATGTTTCTGCAACGCTCATCGCTACTCGGGATAATGTATGACGCCATCGTCGACAAGGAGCGCATTGTGTGCAACCAGAAGGTGAAGCAAGTCGAGACTACCGAGGACAGTGTTTTCGTCCACACAGAGGATGGCACGATCTTTGAAGGACAGGTTGTCGTGGGCGCAGATGGTTCACGGAGCACAGTGAGAAGAGAGATGTGGCGGAATGCCGACGAACAGAAACCGGGCTGGATCCCAGAGCAGGATCGAGAGAACAAGCCCTGTGAGCACATGTGTCTCTTTGCCACTGCCGCACCTGTCAAGGGAATCTCAGCTGGGGATGTGATTGGCTCTGCCATGCCCGGCAAGGCGGCTGGATTGATGTGCAATCCAGACAACAGTATCTTCTGGTTCTGGTTCTGGGCTCTCCCTTCATCGATGCGGTCAATTTCTCTTAACCAGATCCCACGACCATCAAAGGAGGACATCCAGCGCGAGCTATCGGGTTGTGGCGACACCATCGTGTCTGCGACTGGTGTGCACATGTCAGATCTGGTCAAGACAATGGAGAATCAAGGTGCTACAGCCCTGCCCAACTACGTCCTTAAACGTTGGCACTATGGGCGCATTGTTATTCTCGGTGACGCTGCACACCTCTTTAACCCCTTAGTTGGCCAAGGTGCCAACAGCTGTATGGAGTCTGCAGCAGCCTTAGCAAACGCCTTATACGAACATCTAGGCCCAGATAGGAGGAAGGCTGCTTCCTGGCCCCTGAAGAAGTTGTCCACAGCTTTCGCTGCTCTTGAGGAGCTGCGGGTGCCGCGCCTCGAGTTTATGGTGAGCAAATGCCAGGAAGCTATGCACATGGTAGCCTGGGAAGCATGGTTCCCCAAATTCATGATGACCAAGGTTGTTCCCCTGTTGCCTTTACCTATATTCTTGAACTCCTACAGCGAACAGATTGTTGACGGCGTTTGTCTGAATGACCAATTCCCCCGCGCAGCAGCTCCGCATGAGTGGCCATTCCCCGAAGAAAGATCTAAGCAGATGGGGTATTCGGTGGGAGCAAAGGCTGGGGTTGTCGGGGCTGCATTGGCTGCCACAGTGTTTGCTTTATCTTTTGTTGGCAATGGGTGGAAGCATTTGCCAATAACCAACTTGTCTGCGCAAAGTATATGACGTGTAGTCGATATGCCACCTATGAGAAAAACCTGGATTTATTGCGACTTACATTAGCGTTGGAATCATCTTCATAGTGTTATCCTTTCTGCCTTCATCTTGAAGTGATTTACTTTTATACTCCCTATCCATACTTGACGCCCACCTCAGTACGATCAATGGCTGTTCCATCATGGCTCTAGTCGTAGCTAAATAACATGAATCGTGACATGTTGATTTCCGTTGTTGGACTTGAAGCACCGCTGATCCTCTCTTGCTGCGTCTGTTAAGTGGAGAAACTCGAGAACGGTGAAACGTCCGAAGTCGGGAACAATCTGGATTTATCTGCATCTCACCTCTCACGAGTGCGGGGTGGCTCATTGATATTGACGTAGGCTTGCAACCCACGATATTGTTCCCTTCTCTTTCTTCAAACATTACTTTCGTCGCCCATAATGGCTTCAGATATACTCTTTGCAGCTGCGACCGTTGTTACCGGCGACGAGTCGGCCGCACCCTTCGAGGCAGATGTGCTCGTCTCCGGCTCTCTGATTGCTAAAATAGGTCCTCCGGGCTCCATCGATGCTGGAGCAGCTCGTAAAATTGATGCAAAGGGACATTACCTTTGCCCAGGATTCATCGATATGCACGCACATTCGGACCTTTATCTCCTAACAAATCCCGCACATGAGGCCAAGATTAGCCAGGGCTGCACTGTGAGTTGTGCTATTCTGTTTTTGTGCCTATTCTCTGTTACGGGCGATGTGGGACGATTATGATGAATACCAAGAACGAGACTAATGGACGAAGACCGAGGTTGTCGGCCAGGACGGCATATCATATTGTCCTGTGCATACGAAGGACCAGATGCAGGCCATCCGAGACCAGATTGCCGGCTGGAATGGCAACCCCACCGACGATGAGTGCCGGACGAGCCTGAAGGAGATAGGAATGTTCGAATGGAGCACAGTTGGAGAGTATCTGGACTGTCTGGAGAGGAACCGGACCGCCACAAATGTCGCCGTCTTGGTTCCGCAGGGCAATCTACGCCTCTTGGCCTGCGGGCCGTACGATGTCCCTGCTAAACCCGAGGAGATACAACATCAAGTGGAGTTACTGAGAGAGGGCATCAACCAAGGAGCTGTTGGCATGTCGAGGTACCTTATCTAAGTCTCAACCCGTAGTTTGGCTTTGATATCTGACTTCAAGGCAGTGGTCTGACATATACGCCCGGCATGTACGCACCCACGTCCGAATTGGCCGTCTTGTGTCGGGCACTGAGCGAAGAATTCCCAGGGGCTTTCTATGCTCCGCATCATCGAAGTTATGGTCATCGTGCGATTGAAAGTTACGACGAGATGATCGAACTCGGTCATGCCACTGGCTGTCCTATACGTAGGTCGAAATCTCCACCACATTCCAACTCGATGTCGATGGTATTTTTCTAATCTACAGGCAGATTTGACACATGCAACGCTCAATTTCTCAGAAAATAAAGGGAAAGCCCCCGTTCTCATCTCAATGATCGACACTGCCATTGCAAAGGGCCGGGATATCACCCTCGATACGTACCCATACCTCCCAGGATGCACGACGCTCGCCGCACTCTTGCCAAGCTGGGCTTCCTCTGGTGGTCCAGCAGAGACCCTTAAGAGGCTTGAAGACCCTGATACGCGGGAGAAGATTCGAGTCGCTGTTGAAGTAACAGGCTGCGACGGTGGGCACGGTATCCCGACGGACTGGGACTCGATTCAAGTCAGTTGCGACTATCCGTTGGCCATATTGAGGTATATGTGTTAACTTCTCCATTAGATTGGTACTACGGTAGATCCATCCCTTGCGTCATATTCAGGCAGACGAGTTGCGGAAGTAGCTCAAGCTGTCGGAAAGCCTCCAATCGAGGTCTTTTTTGACCTCTTGCAAAAAGATCGTCTCGCCACGAGTTGCCTGATGCATGTTGGCCATGAGGAAAACGTTCGCCAAATCATGCAGCATCAAGTCCACATGGCAGGCAGTGATGCCATCCTGCATGGCAAATCTGTTCACCCCAGGGCCTACGGGACATTCACTCGTTATTTAGGTTTGTTTACCCAATTGAATTATGTGCGCGTACCATCATTTGCTTATTTTGACGGCAGGACACTATGGACGCGATCTTGGTATCGTCCCTCTCCCGCAGATGATCGCTCACTTGACTTCAAGGCCCGCAAAACGTCTATCTATTTATCCTCATCGAGGCCTCGTGGCCGAAGGATCTGCTGCTGACCTCGTCCTGTTCGATCCCGAGACCGTCAGTGACTTGGCAACATTCGAGGAGCCCAAACTGCCGAGCAAGGGAGTCCGGTTTGTTCTAGTAAACGGCCAGGTAGCGCTAGACGAGGGGAAGATGGTTGGTACAAGAGCTGGGAAGATCCTGAGGAGAAAGGGTGCTGGCAAAGTCGAATAATTGGATGTAATCTAGCTACTTAACCCTACTTCAAATGCATATCGCACTAGGGACGCCGAAGATTTCTTCCAACCGTAAGGGAGCTTTGCAAAGTAGGTCTCTGTGAAAACTATGTCCGAATGGCTTCGAAAGCCTGTTCATAGCCCCAAGCTTTTTGCCAATGCGTGGCAACGAGAGCAAAAGCCCGCGTCGTCTCCATTGCTTGTGTCTATTTAATCACGAATTGAGGAGATTGGAGATAAACCTGACAATAAAGCTCATGGGGGTTGGAGAATTAAAGTAAAAGTTGAACTAAAATATAGGAGGCGGCGAATGCCCAGCGGCGAGTGAGGTTCGATCAAGACTTCCACCTTCATTCTTCATATCATTACAGTGCATAATAAGAATAATAATGGTAGACACTTTCAACAATCATCAAGTGGCCACTTTATTGGCAACATCAGGGAGTGAGGAGGCCAGGATGTATCAAGGCGAGGTTTTGGACAGATATGCAATTGCTTCTCCCCATACCCACAAGCCCATTGCCCTGCCGTCTATACGACGCAGCCAATTGCCGTATCCAAGGCTGCAGGGTCCGAGCTAGCTTGAGGCGCAGCTGGCCGTTCATTAGTTTGTTTTCTCTCTCTTCAATTTCGAGCGCCAAGGATCGTACACGGGCCAATCGCTGTGCAAAGGGTACAGATCCCGACTCATGAAAAGAACAGATCTTCCTAATACCGTCCAGCCTCTCTCTTTTCGATTTATATGAGTCACTAGCTTAATTTCGAAGCTACATGGATTATGATTGGAATAAGGCCAGCTTTGTGAAGTCTGGAGGAAAAACACTATATATACTGGAGCTGATGGCCACTTGGTCAAACTTCCAACACCCACTCTACAACTCACTTTAAAATCGTTTCCATTTAAATATATCCGAAATCTCTCAAGTCACTTTTTAGTATTCATATCATCATGATTGCTCAAAACTTGTTCCTCAGCCTAGCGGCCACTACTCTAGTCGCAGCCTCTAAGACTACTGTCGACCTTCCCTTCGTCGATTACTACACAAACGGCCTTGATCATTGGTCTAAATTTGGAAATGGAACATGGGATTCTCATCATAACCTTTTAGAGGGAAGACTTGGTGATACCTCAACGTGGTTAACCGTGACTCCAAACCGCAACGACTATTCTATCGGTACCACTACCACCGCCATAAATTATCCCGGTGTCTTGAACGGCATCGTATTTCGAGCTAGTGAGAAGGATAAAGCCAACTTTTACTCCGTTGGTCTTCATGTCGACTATGTCGAGATCCATTTGTGGAAGGATGGCAAGGCAGAGACGTTAAAGAGGTCAAAGCCGGTTATCAGGCCCGGAGTCGAGACGCCAATTCGGGTCGAGGTCACCGGAAGTAACATTAAAGTCTTTCTCCCATATGGGGGTGACAGTGAGCCTCTCCTCGAGGTTGATGACCAAACTTATGACAAGGGTGGCGTTGGGTTCTTTATTCAAGGGGAAGGCCATGATGACTTTGCTGGTATATTCCGCACCATCTCGATTTCCGACAATCACCATGACGAACGCCTAGAGCTGTAGAACGACCCTTTTTATTTGGACTTTAAGATTTATATGCAGGGGGAAACGCAAATTTGGCATTTGTAGTCATAAAATTAGACAGCCAATGACATAGAGTGACAGGGTCCTAGAACAGAAATATCGAACTAGCAAGACGGTTATTGCCGCTGCTGTCTAAGCTCTAGGAACAAAGTTAAAAAAATTCCCAGCTAGTCGATAGTTTTTCGTTGTCGCTTGCTGGTATTGATCCGGATATCTGCAGAAAATGTAGAGGAATTTGGACTCTTAGAAAACTGCATATCTATCCCAACTTGACCTCTTCCCTACGTCAACTCCAGATCTCGCCACGGGTGAGCTCGCCATTGAGTCAGACTTGGGCGACAAAAACTGATCACGTGCCACATCATCTGGTGAGATGGCCGAGTTGGTTATGGCGTCAGGTTAAGGCTACCTTAGCATTCATTCCTGGTGGAGCAATCCTCCTGGGTTCGAGTCCCAGTCTCATCATTCCTTTTTGATCGTCTTTTGGATAACGGGGCAGTTCAAAGGCTGCCTTTTGCGAAATTTGCTTTTGTCCAAAATGTCTGTAGACCGGACCAGAAGATCAGAGCCGGCGGCACTACCATCATTTTTGGTTTTGTAACTTGACATTGAAGCCCTAACCTTTCTGAGGGCTTCTTTTTGAAGACATTAAGAGGCATTTACCTAACTCAAGACATAATGGCGGAAAGAATACTGTCAGAGTATGATGACGCTCTTCTTTAATAACAACACAATGGTGCAATAAATTGCAGGGAGAAGGCTGGATCTGCGTGGTAGACTCTCTTGTCGGAAGAGATACGTGAACTGGATTCACATACAGGGAAAATCTTAATCTACAGATCCGAGAAAGAAACTAGTAGATATTTATGTTCGTAGTCCGTCAATTTTCCTTTCATGGGCGTTCTCAGTATGGGCATGAAATGCGTCTACTATTTTCCCCGAATGATAGCATTTGTCTTGGCCGGCGTAGAAAACGAGTTGATATAGCTCACATCGTGTATGCATAGCACAAGGGGCTAGTGGACTTCCACCACCTGTCATCCCTTTTCAGGCTCTCCAATCGTTTTTTCTTAGTTAATCGAAGAGTTCGAAGTGCGGATGGGTTGCTCTAAGGAAAGGAGCTAATTGAGGGTAAGCCAAGGCAGGGTTTTCATCATGAATCTGGAAAAAGACTTAAAAAGCAACAGCATAGAGTGGCAAGCAACCATGTTTGAGTGACACGTAACTATCGCTTTTATATTACTAGAGACTACGTTTATTATCGAATGTGTAACTAAGCAACGAGATGAATCTTATATGCCGCCTTGCTCAAGAAATCTGAGAAGCCATCAGGTCTGAACAAGACTTCGACTCACTCGCTAGTATTGGGCCCTCCAAGCCAAGTACTGATCTAGCTTTCAATCCCATGCTCTGGGAATGGAAGACCATCTTGTACGGAAGCACTCGTATTACTTCAGCTTCCCAGCGGTCTCGATTATTTCCTCCTGGACAGCCTCCTGAGAACCATTCTTGAGCTCCTCGGTAGCCAAAACAGAATGACCAAACTTGTACGACTTGAATTTGCGGGTAGGAGTCTTGTTGGCGAACAAGAAGTCGAGCTGTTCGAGCGAGAAACCCTTCATCTCGGGCAAGAAGAAGAAGACCCAAATGACGGTGAAGAAGGAGAATGAAGACCAGATAAATCCCTAAAAAAACAACGTTAGGCTTTGAGTAAACTCGAATGATCTGAGAAGTATTGCTTACGATTCTACCACCTAGGTTTCCATAATCCTCATTCTGGATGTATGGTGAAACGGAAGTAATCATCAAGGAGACACCGAATCCAATGAAGACAGCCACAGCCAGAACCCTTTCCCTGTTGCGGGTGGGGGCCGCTTCCGCCGTGGTAATCCAGACCAGAGTAGATTGAATACCGAATCCAACTTGCCAGATGAGAATCAGCGCAAGAGAGGCATTCGATGTGGCAGCCGTCGGAGGGTTCACGGTGGTCGTCAAGACGGCAACGATCAGGAGCACAACGCCGCAGAAAAGTGCTGTCGAGATGATGAGCGGGCGACGACCGAACTTGTCAGGTAGAATATGGCCAGTAAGAATGGACACATAGTACAGCGCGTTGACTCCCATGATGGCAGGGAAAACATCCTTGACGCCGTTGGCCTGTAGGAAGGACACAATGTAGTTGCTCATGTAGCTGGAGCCCTGTGCCTGCTGCAAACACTGCATACCCATTGCAATGAGTAGACGACGAAGGAATGGGCTGCGCAGCAAGTCGATCCAGCCACCAGATGCAGCGTTGAGTTCTTTATCTTCGGCTACCGCGAGCTCGATCGCGTTGATGTATTCGACGGCGTTGAAATCATTTGTTGGAGTACCGAAAATTCGTTCAGCTGCTATCTTCGCTTCCTCGAGGCGTCTGTTTATCTCAAAATATTAGCTATTGTTGGTAACTAGGGAGGAACCGGGTGCAAAGATGTCTGTCATACCCCTTTGTCACAAGCCAACGGGGGCTTTCAGGAAGGAAGGGTGAAGTTGCCAGCATAAAGCCAGGCGCAATAAGCTGCAGAGCAAAGGGGATGAGGTAAGATGCAGCAGTTGTCAGTTGTGCCGTGCCGTAAACGGTACCAGCTGCCGTGATAACGCCCACAACAAGAATGTTCTGGTACAAAGCGATGCCGGCACCTCTTGCCTTGTTTGTAGATGTTTCGGATAGGTAAATAGGGACAATATTGGCACAGAGGCCCATCGAAATCGCCGCGATGGTCTTGCCGACAACGAATTGCGAAAAGCGAGGTTTTTCTCCGATGGCGCTGGTCAACTCGATCACGATTCCGATGACAGAAATGATGGCTGTCAGGACAAGTCCCCTCTTGCGCCCAAGGAAGTCGTTGACATAGACCGCAAGTAAGCAAGCAAACACTAAACCATCGTAATTAGCCATGGCCAGTCAAGTCTTGTCGGCGTATCAGAGTGTCAACCTACTCATTCCTGCAGACTGAACTGCGCTGCCAGCAGACAACTGCCCCGTGGAGAGATTACATGTCTCAACACCGTCGGTTGTTTTGCACGATCCGTAGTGTCGAAGAAAGGTATCTGCGCCGAGGATGGTTCCCCACCAACCGTTATCGAAACCCTACGTAGAGAGAAATGTCAGGACAAAGGCAGTGGCTCGGGATTGGGATCAAGGCATTGTGTGGCTTTACTCACAAACAAAAATGCACCGACGGAGGCAAGTAACATGCAGCCCAGCCCAGTGCGGGTGGTGCCTTCGAGGTAGTCTCCGAGTTTTCCCATCGTGTTTATTCGCAAGGGGCGAGCTATTCTGGTGAGTGTCTTGAGTGATTCAAGAGGTGAAGATGCTCTTATTCGATGCCCTGAAGGAGGCGAACCCCATGATTTATAGTTGACTCTTATCTGTCCATGAGAACGAGATGGACATGAAAGAGAAAAACATTGATGTGGAGTGACTCCCCGTGGAGGAGAGATAAGGGTCGAGACTCGAGACCGCGAGTCAAATTGCGGAGGAAAGCCCCCACAATGCGCTAAGAATGTACTAGCGAAGAACCGGTCATGTAAGTCTCGAGTACATCCTCGTTAAATGAATATTGGTAGGGATTGGGATGATAACAACCCTTGCCACCGCTATGGGCCCATATACTGTGGTAGTTTCAACAAGTTGATGCATGATCGGTTAGTCATTCAGCTATGATCCGAGCACTACGGGGGCCGTCGGTCTCCGTACGGGAACAAGGTGAGGCGACTACCTGTGGATTTGCGAGCTACGATATGCGAGTCATGAGTACGTTCATAGAGTAAAATCTGAGGATATTGAGATAATATTGAATGCTATCTTGTTAGTACAAAGATAAAGAGAAAGAGAGGGCTATCAAGATAATGATGGAGTTGATCACTGAAGATGCATGTTATGTTGCCCCGCCTGATAACACTCAGGGCTGATCATGAGTTAAGGCGAGGAATCCACAGAAAACAGAAATTGATATCAAAATTCTCTATCATTCATATCTTCACAAGCTTCGGGATCTTTTTAAGTCTTTTGAAGGTGAAGATAATCTATGCTATTGTGACCTCTATTCTTATCTATGTTTGTCTAGAACTCCTACCGCAGCCCATCAGGTTGGTCCTTATTTCTCGGAGATCACATGCTTCCAGATACTTTCTACGAATTTGGCAGAGTTCTTGGGGACTCGTTTGAACCCATTTTCTTTGTCAATATACGTGACTCCAAAGCGTGGCCCATAGCCACAAACCCACTCCAAGTTGCTAGCAAACATTGAATTAGTTTTGACAAAACCATGAATCTACTAATTGTCATATTCGAACTTACTCGAGTAAGCTCCAGCAATGATATCCTTGGATCTTAGCTCCATGGTCAAGAACTGCATCACAAAGTCCCCGGATATAATCAGAGTAAAACTCCTGACGGTCTTTGTCATCCAAGATTTGTTCCAAGGGCATGTGCTGCTCATCTTCGACGGGAAACCCATTCTCATAGATGTAGATTGGCAGATCAAGGTCTTTGGCGTAATTCTCCCAGCAGTGTATGAGCAAGTTGCGGAATCCCCACCCCACTATTCAGAACATGAATCAGCGGAAAGATTCACATGGAGCGGCATCATAACAATGTCCAAATGGCTTGATTGATTCAAACTTACCCATGTGCGGATGGCCGTTCTCTCCGCGCTTTCCGATAAGCTTTCCATCTTTTTCCCAACTCTTATTGACTTCTTCCATTGTTTGCCAACCCATAGCATCTTCCGCCTTGAAAGGCTTGCCGGTAGCGTACATAGTGCCATAATGATTGATAGAAAAGCTGTGTATGGATTTTAAATAAATGAAATTAGAAGTACCAAGTTCAGAGGTCACTCACAAGTCGGCAGAGCCTTTGAGCAGTTTCATTTCCTCGTCTGAAAAGCGGAGAAAGAGATCTCCCCAAGCATCCCAGGCGGTGGTCTGAGTGCCCTTGACTATATTTGAGTCAGTAATCCTCTTGTTCAATTTGTGTTAGAATATGAGTGACCACTTACAGATTGGGTCGGCAAACTAACTTGTTGGTTAACAATCGATTCCATGAAAAGAATTTCGTGGAGAATACATACCCAACCCAATGTGCGGCCCCGTGACAGATTGGCAGCAGCAATAGCCTCTGGAGAGTTATCGATTGGTTCGACCCATTCATTGTTCTTCGATAGGTAAGCATATGCCCCACGAAATGTCAGGTTAGACTGTGTTCATACCAGCGCGATGCCAATTTGCCCCTTTTGCGACTGTTGGAATTCTCGACGATAGAGATCCGTCGCATAAGCATGGGTAAGCAAGGAATTGTGACCAACTCTACACACCGACAAAGTCAGCTATTGATACAAGAACTGTAATCGGTTAACCTAGCATGGTAAGTATCTACCTGATAAGGTCTGCGTTCGTCCAGTCTTTGATGTGATCCACCATCGAAATGGTGAAGATATAAGGCTAAGTCGAAATTATAATTAGAACCGAAGCAGGAGATAACGCAGAGGCGCCACGTACCTCATTAATGGTCAACCATCGCTTTACGCGGTCTCCATACGCAGAGAAACAGATGCGAGCGTAATCGACGAAGTCTTCAATCAGTTGAGCGGGATCAACGGCAGCGAAACCACGATAACGCTCTTGGAGGGCTTGGGGGACATCGTAATGAAAGAGCGTCACGGTTGGCTCAATCCCAGCATCCAGTAGCGCATTAATCTGAGAAGATGGTTGGCCTAGTTGTTCAATTATATGTTTTGGCAATCGACTTACCAGATTGTTGTAATAGTCGATACCCTCCTGATTCAAAGGATCATTCTTCCCTCCTTGAATGGAGTGTAAGCGCAAGCCCAAGATGTGATTTAGCTTCAAGTGAACTCTCACCAAGAGGCTTGATTCGTGTCCAAGAGATGGAGAAACGATAAGATCGCGCGCCATATTGGCGAAGCAACTCGACATCATCCCGCCACATGTGATAAGACTTGCAAGCTACTTCACCAGTATCGGGGAAGTCTTTGAGGCTGACGTCGAAAATGCAGGGGCCTCGCCCACCCTCGGATGCAGCACCTTCGATTTGATAGGCCGCCGACCTAGATATTGAGAATTAGTCCAACATAGTCACTATCAGGTCAACCGAGAATTAGAACGTACGCATATCCATGTAGGAAATCCGAAGGCAAAACTCCCTTGTATTTGGGATCCTCGGCAATATTCTTGAATGCCATCTTCAAAGAAATTACTCTAAAGCTGTAGAATTGACGGACTGCGCTCAAGGGAAACGAAGAAGGGGAAGACGATGAAAGCGAGAAGTGGAAAGGGCTACGAAAGGGGATGGGGGAATGAAGGAGAATGTTAGCGCTCCACTACGGCACATTTCACATCAGCCAATATTCCTGTAGATCTTGGCTCTACGGGTCCATTCTCAGGGTCGGGCTCAATGGGATCCCCGGCTGTATCCAATGACCATATTTACCCCCAGGATGGTCCAAACTGTGTAGTAGGTGGAGATCAGTCTTATCACGAGACCAAAAATTCCAATTTCCGTTTGTTCATGATGTCCATTGGTGCATATCGCTCTATCCCCATCGCAAAACATTCGACGTTGACTCGTTCTTGTGGGGAACCGACGGCACCCGACGGGCCCAATATCGAACTGCAAATGCCGAGCTTATGGTTGTGAGGCGCCCTTAGTAGTTGGACAAGGTTATGGAACTTTCTTGCCCAGCCAGTAGCAAGACTACTGCCAGAATCCGGCGACTTAGCCTCCACAGTCTCGACACTAACTTCAAACAGGAGGCACTTGAATATCTCGCATGATATGAAGGGTGATCAGGGAACGTGATCTCGGTTCAGGTGTTGATCCCAAACCCTGAGGATGACACGGCCTAAACTAAAACCACTGCTATCAAAGTATACAAGCAATGATATGATTCTTGTTGGCTGATAAGTGGCAGGGGGGTTATCATGGACTCCGCCGGGGCCCGTCGTGAGCCGACGGACTGCGTCGGGATCCGTACAGGCTAACGAACATTGCAGGCTACAAGGTTTAGCCTACTCTCCCGTTGAGCCCTCTAAGCCCCTGCTTGTCTGCTGAATCTTTGGCCCTGTGCACGGATACAAAGATTTCCAGGTATTTGGTACTTCCAACCGACTTTGATCCTGTTCCTGGTCTAAGAGACATCACGCGAGACATGCGAGCTGCACTTCAGTGCGGCCCAAGGGGATGGCACCACCCACAAGACGGTGATCATTCCAGTATTCCGGTTTCTTCTCATTTTGGGGGGTCTAACAATCTGTAACTCAGTAGGTTCGGGTGGTGGAGTTGAAGTAAAATTAGGTAAATTACATGCTATCGACAATATTCTTGAACATGTTGTCAAGTTGGGAGAAATCCAACTCCATCCCGTTGGGCTCGAAAAAGTCCACTGGATTCTCAGATATCAGCCTCGCCCCTCCGATCAAAGACGCGAATTCCGGGCTTTGGAAATTGTTATTGTATGCTGTTCCGTAAAAAGGGGCGCTGGTGGTTGGGGAAGGGCCTGGGTTCGGAGTCAGCCCGGATGCCGGCAAGCTACTTCCATGGGGTAAATGTTGTGGGGTGGTGTTCTGATGGCTTTCGCCAAGGTTTCCAGTTTTCAGGACTTCGATAATCCCCTGTCTTGTGAACGAGTGGCTGGGGGAATCTGCTGTCATTTGGCGCTCGATGGAACATAGATGCGAAATCAGCTTGGCGCCACGGACGGCAATTCCCGACTTATCTCGGACTTCGAACAACAGATTCACAAGATCTGATAGTCTTTGTCGCTGTAGCACGAGGTCAGTTTCATTGACCTGCTGCTTAGAGCTCAAAAGCAGCTCAAGAGATAAGACGATGCCTGCTGATACCAACCAAAGGGTTGTGTTCCAGAGGCGTATCAGCGCCGAGGGGAGGCCCTTCTGAGCAACGTATAGAATCCTCTCGGCCGCATTTACACATGCCGTCCGTGATTTCTCGTATGTCTTCTCACGGAGTGATTTGACGAAGAAAGCACGATGAATCAGATATGAGCGATATGCAAGCATCATGGCCAAGTATCTGGATACGAGCACAATGTCGGGCTGCCCTGGAGTGATTTCTTCCGTTGGTTCCTTCAATCTCTCTGGCAGTGAATTTGATAAAGCATCAAGCCTCTCTGAGGCACGAAGAATCGCTTCGTATGACGGATGCTCATTTGGTCTTAAGGTGCCGTAGAGGTCGTACATAATTTGAGATGAGTGGCAGCAAGTCAGTAGGAAGGAAAGAGAGTGAACATCTTTTGAGCGCGATGCGAGAACACCTTCTTCATCTGTGAGATCGGGAAGGCTGGTGTCGAACTGGTGAGGCGCAACAGCTGTAAGAGGCTCCAGTCAGCACAGAGAAAAACATTTGCAAGGAAGACCATCTCTCACAAGTAAATCTTTGATACGGTAGAAAGTGCCACTCCCCTTCCACTATCTGCCACCAGGCTCTACGGCCTAGATCTCGTTTCAATATCATCTCCGGCGACCCGGAATTATCATTCCCCAAAAGATGTAGATTAGTTGCCCTGCCGGTACCGATCAAGAGTTGCATCATTGATGCATGTATTGGGGTGTTCCCGGAAAGATTGAAAGCAGGGAAGAGGGCCAATATTGTATTACACGCGGTGAGAGTAGGTTTAGTCATGCCTTCACATCGGAAGAAAGTGGCCAGAGAGAGGTCGAACCATTTATGTGCCAGGTGTTCCATCTCGTCCGGGTTCGGCATGCCTGGGTATGTTCGGTAGTCTTCAAAGAAGAAAGCAGATACGCTCAAGACAGCAAACAATAAGGCCAAGGTCATGCTGTCCTCGGCTTTGCCCTGTTCATGAAGCGACCAGAATGTAGCATGATGCCGGTATAGAGTCCCACGGTGAAGACAGCCGAATATCCAATTCAAACGATCACAGTAAGCCTCCAAGAGAATATGAGATTGATGTCGCGTGGGTAGCTCATTCAGGCAGTCACTAAATGCAACCGAAGAGAACCACGGGGTGTTAGAGAGACTGCATTGAGCAGAGTCCTCCATGAGAGCCTCGCCATGCCATCTTCGATTCTGACCGATTCCCAAAGCGGCTTCCTCCATGGCACCGGCCAGTCCATTCTCTCGAAAGTCGATGCCGTCATCGCTGTGTGAACTTGGATTCTCCTGACGTCGGATGCCAAGAGCTGATTCAATCTCGGCCAATCGTTGCCTCACGGAAGCCAACTCATCTTGGACCTCTTGGAATGCCTGAGGCGTTACGCCAGTTGGAGTTGGTTCTGTCGTGACCGCAGCAGGGGAAGGCCGACGTGCCGGACCAGACTGATTCCGAGGATAACACTGATCACCTTGACCCCTTTCCCTGCAGGCTCTACAGGGAAATTTCTTGTCGCATCTTATTTTGCGACGACTGCATTCTTTACAGCTAAGCGGGATCCGGTATCGTCCACTCAGCTTCATCTTCACCTGCTCCCCCGGCTGCCTGAGTTGGCCGTCAGGTGACTCAGATAAACTGGTGGCAGACATGTCCGAGGCAAATGCATTGACACCCCTAGAATTGCTTCAGGGCTTGCTTCAGGGCTTGACGGTGAAGATGACAGCACTAAGTAAAGCAAATTTTAATGCTCTTGGCCTGATTGTTGATGAAGCGGCCATGTCTTAAGCCGGAATCTGATCGGTAGAGGCTTGGATGTAAGGGTCTAGGCGGAATAATGGAAGATCCGATCTCCGGTGGAAGCTGCTTATTCCTGAAACAACTCAGTCGGCTTACCCTATACACAATCTCCTCCGACAAAAGCTCGAGCAAAGAAAGGCTTGTATGTGAGATTAAAGGTTAGTGGATTATAGGCTTGAAAGTAGGAGTATAATTTACTTGCCTAGTCTAAGATTTGCCTCAAAATCACCAAAGTTGATTTGTCTAAGTCAATAATCATGATTTTTCGCCTTCGCCACTGTCAGATGGTGAAGCCTTTAAAATCAAGTATTATCATCACAAAAGATTCACATATGTTAAAACGGGAAAATTGCAGTCTCTATTTTTAAAATTCTGTATCAATACCAGTACTAAATAATACTCTTCAGTAAGTACTTATACTTGTGCAAAAAACACCTGCAAACTTTTATAATAAGCTGATTGGCACAAATACGAAGAGATAAATGACGACGAATTGCCAATTTGAAACTCCACCTCTACAAAAGTTCTTGAACAAAAGAAAAGAGAATCAAAAATGCCGCAGCCTCTCCCATTCCCATCAAAAGAGTCCTCAGTCTGTGAACAATGTGCATACATCTTCCGAGGAAAATGCTTGATCTACACCGCCGACGACGAAAATGCATGGCCTCTGCCAGTTCACCACCAGACTCTCGAGTCCTTCAAGGCCGCGGTTAAATCTGGATGTGTCCTCTGCCACCGCTTGAGGAATGAAGTTCATAGAAAGGGCCGTGGAGAGTTATGTACACTGGAGAGAGCTACCGTGTTTTCTCGCTACGCACTGCGAAAGTTCCAAGATGATGACCGCGCGGATTATTGGCTGACGCTTATCGTCCTTCGTCCGGGCTCGAGACCGGAAGGGGATGGCTTCAGTGTTGAGCATGGTGTGATATCTTTAAACCGTAGGTATACTTTCCGCAAATTAGGAATATGATTGACTGATGTAGGATTTAGGATATGACGGACCTACACAGTATTCGGAGCATGAGCCGAGTACAATGTCTGAAACTGCTTTGGATCAAGTTCTAAAATGGAACGGGGAATGCTGCTCTCACCACACTGTTTGCAATTCCCACCGGGACCCTTCCTATCTCCCAACCCGAGTCCTTGACATTTCCGGGAATCTGAACGACGATATCAAGCTGAAAGTCACTGAGAATCACATGAAACAGATAGAGGACAACAAGAGCGAGCATGAGTATGCAACCCTTAGCCATTGCTGGGGCCAAGATCCCATCATCACTCTCCGCCAACAGAACATCGATCAGTTTCAAGATTCCATCGCGATGACGGCACTCCCCTTGGTCTTCCAGCAAGCCATCCACGTTGCGCGGAAGCTAGGATTCGTGTACCTCTGGATCGACTCTCTTTGTATTATCCAAGATTCAGAAGAAGACTGGCGGCATGAATCCGCCTTCATGGGAACGGTTTACAGCAACAGCGTCCTCAACATAATGGCTACAGATAGTAAAGATGGCACCCAGGGCTTATTCAGGGAAAGAAGTCCTCTCGACCTGCAACACTGCATCGTTCGAGCCGAGTGGACAGGTACCGCACCCCAATCCTTCTATATTTACGACTGGATGTCGTGGGATGACCTCATAGGGAGGGCGCCCCTCAACGGCCGCGGATGGGTTTCGTAGGAACGAATCCTGTCCCCGCGTGTGCTGCATTTTTCGCACAACCAGCTCGCCTGGGAATGCCACGAGAAGGACGCATGCGAGATGTACCCCGACGGCATGCCGACGATATTCGTAAACTTTGATACCCAGGCCAAAATCATGGCCTCAGAGTCGTACTTGAAATGGGTCAACAGCTGGCGGCAAATGCACTTCAACCCGACTATAGATGTTGAATACGCCATATGGGCACGTTTAGTACATTTATACAGCCAAACACGCGCAACGAAAGCATCCGACAAGCTCATAGCTATCAGCGGTCTCGCTGAACGAATGCGCGGCATTATGAAAAATGACCAGAAATATCTTGCTGGTTTGTGGTCGCATCACCTGACTAGCCAGCTTCTCTAGAAAGTTGCGCCTAATGCGATCGGTTCACGCATCTTACGATGGCGGAGACCATACCGCGCGCCCTCTTGGTCGTGGTCGTCATTGGAAGCCGAGGTATACATGCCGATGGAGGAGTCTGCAGTGCCTTTGTCAACTTACATCGCTATCGAAGAGGCGAGCGTGACACCTCGATCGTCATTGAGCGATACGGGAGATGTGGTAGATGGCCACATTCGGCTCAGGGGATCCTTGATGAGAGCCGAACTTGTAAGCTCAAGCGAGGAGGGATCGCGCAGTAAAATGGACTTGCGGGTGGATGGAATGAAAACCGATTCGGCTATCTCTCTTGATGAAGTGCGACTTGATGATAGCTACTCGGTCGTGTACTTACCTGTTGCAGGGGAGCATGATCCAGATGGTGATAGCCAGGCTGTCATAGGCATTCGTGCTTTACTATTAGTCCCCGTCAAAGGCAAGCCTCAAGGGTGGTACTCGAGGTTTGGGTTTGCTGATACTTGGCACGACCGTGAAGATCCTGAGCCGATCAACCACTTGATCCGTATAATGGAAGATCGTACCTTTAATGACGAGAGCCTCTGTCTGGAGGGAGTGCCCAGGACTATCATGTTGATATAGTTCTATCATCATTTGAAAATTAAATTAAGTAGTTATCACATGTTACCGCTGAAGTTCGAGCCATCTCTAGCAACTGAGTATGTATTCGGCCCTCAGAACGGAGAGCACTGCTTGGATTGCAATTGTGAGACGAATCAACATCCAAAGCGGTGAGATGGCCGAGTTGGTTATGGCGTCAGGTTAAGGCTACCTTAGCATTCATTCCTGGTGGAGCAATCCTCCTGGGTTCGAGTCCCAGTCTCATCATTTCTTTTGCACTATTTTGCTTTTTTTAACCTCAACTCTTTTGTCCATCTTGACTTTATTTGTATTCTGCGGGCTGATTTCTAAGCTTTGATTGCCATCTTGTTTCAAAATGCGACAAATTTCAAGTCATTCCGTCTTGTTTTCATGTCTATATATGAATGCATGTGTCTGTCTTGTAGATATTGAACACGTTCTGCGACCATCAAGCTCAGTATTATTCGACGCTGGTTTAGAGAACACTGTTTATCTTGGCATGCTTTTCGTTGACTAGCACATATCTAAACCGCGCCTTGCCAGCCTCAAGGTCTACGATAGCTTGATTAGCATCACTCAGAGGGCGCGTTTCAATCCAAGGTTTGATGTTCTTGCTAGACGCAAGTGCCAACATTTCGTTGATGTCATTGATACCACCAATGGCACTGCCGGTGACTTTGATTTCGCTGTTGATCAATCGGAATGCATTGATGGGAGGCAGAAGGCCTTTGTCCGGGGCCCTAGAAAATAGTATAAGCAACAACTCCTGAGCAGGAACAACTGAACAAGAACTTACCCGACCTGAACAAAAGTTCCGCCTATATCCAGCAGTTTGAGATAACCCCCCAGCGGGATCTTATCGCTCGACACAGTGGAAATAATCAAGTCCAGGCTTTCAGCGTTCTTCTTGACCCAGCCCGCGTCATCGTCTGTCGCGATGTAATCATCTGCACCAAGCTGCAACACTTGATCCCGCTTCGATGACTTCCGGGAGATACCCACTACATGATCTGCTCCTAGGGCTTTAGCGAATAGGACCCCGAAGTGTCCCAGTCCACCTACCCCAATAATGCCAACTCGTTTGCCCGGGCCGCAGCCATGGGCCCGGAGGGGTCTAAATACTGTAACACCTCCACAGAGCATTGGGGCTGCATCCTCTGAAGCCAAACCTGGAGGGATCTTGACGACAAAACGGCCGGGTGCCCTGTTGTAGTCCGCGTATCCACCATATGATTTGCCCTGATTATCGGGGTATCGGGAGTTGTATGTGTTTACCTGAGCTAGGTATTAGATGGTTCAGGGTGGCTTTCGGGATGCCGCGGTGTGGACTGACATTAACTCGGCGGCATATGTTCTCGTTGCCATTGGAGCACTGCCTACAATCAGGCTGAAGACAGCTGAGTGATTGTGCTCCCACGCCCACCCGATCACCGACCTGCAGATGCTTCACATTGCTTCCAACACGCACCGCTTTTCCGACAATCTCATGGCCCACGCAGCAGGCTAAATAATGCGCCTGTCAGTCTGTTTCCTATCTCGCGAGGTCGGTAGAGAAAGGTTCCTTACGATAATCCGTCTTGCTCCACCCTGAGCTGAGAGTACTGGAGTGGAATGCTGAGTTAGCTCCTAAATCAAAATATCATATGTATGTTTCTGCTGAGATGGACGCACTGCAGGTCAGAGCCACACATGCCGCAGTGGGTGATTTGGATATCAACATCGTTCTCTGTCCACTTTTTGGGCTCAAAACGACCCCATTCCATCTTGCCATTGACGCTGTCGGGATCATGGCCCAACCAGCCCTCGAATTCATATGCAGTCATCGTGGAGATCGACAAGTAGGCCAATAAGTCGCAATTTTATAATTGGCTTGGGCAGACGGTGGTCGTTCTGGTGTCTCTGGTATGTAGCAGGTTTCCTTTCCCTCTCAAATGAGACACGTGGTGAGCCAACCCAAATCCTTCACCCCAAATGCCCCTGTTTGTTTCTGGCGCTATAATGACAATGTCCGAGTCATGGCCCACAAAGGTAACTAACGCTCCGTTGTCGCCAAATATGCTGGATCGTTAGAATGCCGCACTGCTGCAGTCCGGGGTTGGATTGGGGTCAGAGAGGTCTCGAGAGTGACGGAATCTGACATATAAGCTCCCAGCGAGGTATCTTCAGTCTCTGATCCAAGGTCCTGGCTCCTGAGTTGGTTGCTTGTATCCCAACGGCCCACATGAGGATGAGCAAATGAGGGGCACTGGCAAGGATTGGAGCGTCATAAAGGTTCAGCCGAGGCTCTTTACCTGGCTCCTCGGTACAGAAAAGCGCTTCACAAAAAACAGACGCGGCCTCCTCCCAACGCTAGGGAGCAAGCATTGGAGCTGGGTTGACCAGATGTACGTAAAGTTTTCTTTTGTTTACTATCATTCAAATTAATTGATGAGCCCCTTAAAGATGGCTCTAATCTTCTTCACCCTCGCTTGAGCTTGAGGGCATGTACTCGCTCAGGTTAGATTCCCACTGTTCGCTGTCCACATCCACAAATTCGGAATACACGATGTTCTCCTTAACAAACCGTTCGTTTGTTTCCACGCAAACACTGCTCACGGCACTTTCGGAATCCTCCACGACGTCCATGTCCTCACCATCAGAGCCTTCCTCTTCCTCCATTTCGTCATCTGCGCATCCGTCCTCTGCGTCAATCTCGCATTCTTCTTCCCAGCTAGTCCCATTCTCTCTGTCTTCTGTACGGCCTTCCCCTTTTCCTGTATCATCTTCTTCCAGCATTTCGCAGTCCATGGAATTATTCAACTCGCCCCTTGCGCTTTTTTCGCGGTTTTCAGGATCACAATCTTCGTCCATTTCCATACCCTGGGGTTTGAGCCAGTCATACACATGACTGCTTACACTGTTCCGAGGAGCGTGCCATCCTTTCACTTTCGTCCGCCTCTTGATACGTTGCCTGAAAGCTTCATCAGTCCACCAGTAGACTCTGGCATTTCTATCAGTCCAAGAGTCGTCTGCTGCGCTACCCTCGCTAAACTCGGAATCGCTCTCCTCTGCCGTGTCGGAATCCTCACTCTCCTCGGAAACCTCCCAGCAAGGCGCGCCCATCAAGTCGTCTTCGGTGAATATCGCGATTCTTTTAAACAGCAATTCTCCCAAACTCCCGCGTTGCCCAGCTTCCTGGTCCTGCGATGCATGGCCGTTCAAATAGTCCAAAACATGAGATTCGTGAACCCAGTCTTGAGTCTGCGTGGCCCCCATCAAGCGGCAGGATTGTAACCGAAGATTAGGGACATCTTCTCTGATCCAGTTGAGAGATCCGACAACTAAAGAAGAACTGTCTAAGCGGATGTGTCGAAGTGTATTGGAGTGTCTCTGTAAAACCGGTATCAGCTCATCGCAAGTGACTGGCGCGGAAGAGTGAAGCTCTAGGGAGACTAGCCGTGTGGATCGGATGCACGGTAAGTAAAATCTATCTTGAAGGTTACTGTCGAACACAAGATGGGTCAGGCTAGTCGCGGCTCTCAGGAGACTAGGGAGTGAGCTGATATGGTCGGTTGGTTTGTTTTTGTCGGGGTGATTAAATTGGGTTGCTCGAGGGAAGTAAAATGACAACTCTAGTTTTTGAAGATGCTCAAAGACCTTCATGTTGTCTTTGCATGGTATGGACCGGGCACAGCTGCGGTATTGATCTTCATCTTGCCAAAGAAGTCGAGTAATGGGGTTCTCAAGTCCTTCAATAGCGGGAAAGAGGAATAGAAAGAGCCCGTCATTGGCCGTTGGCTCGGCTGCTTGGCCGCTGAAGCGATGCGTCTGAAAGTGTCTAGCCTGTAATTCATGTTCTCCGGAGCACACAACTCGGCCAGGATCCATTGGTCTTGACAACACACCTGTTAAGTAGGGGAGGCGGCGAAGCGCAGGTTGAAAGAGCCGACGAAAAGATGCAATGACAAATTCCCGCAGGGAGTTTAAAGTTGCCGAATTAAACTCAGTTAGACCTCCGCCAAATCGTGTTGCTGTTATCTGAATAATGTCGATGTCCTCTGGGGAAAATCCAGAGTCGCACATTTCTTCGAGAGTTGGATAAGCCGATGATGAGAAGTCGGGGAAAGTGAAGAACCAGAAGAGATTATTGATGGACTCGTCCAGTCTGAATGCCAATTCAGCGTCTAGATCTCCGGCTCGTAGCATGCCACGTACATTTGGAGTCTTACTGTCGGAATTGAAATGATGCCAACACCAGAGCCAAGTCATCACCCTCTCCTTCACCCTCTCCTCCGTGGCATAAAAGGCGGCGCGGGAGAAGAATCCAGGATACCATGAGATTTCCTGCCATTCAACCTCTCGTACATGCTGTGCTAAATCGGGCGTATCGCAAATATGAAGGAAGTTTTCACGGTCTTGCCACAACTGAGAGATCGTGATGCGCCGAAACAGTTTCGGCAGTGCATGGCTTCGCAAAGTGCTGCATGTTAGGCTGATCGCCTTCCTGTCCCGCGTCTCTAAATCATCGTGTTCTACAATTCTTCGAAGGATTTCTTGAGGGAGTCTTTCCAGAGAGCGCGCTTTCTGCTGGATGTTGAGAAGAGTGAAGGACTGGGCGAAGATGTCCATGTCGTAATGCACGAAACAGTTGTGCAATATGGGAAAGGCTATTCTGACGATTTTCCCAGTCGGTACGTTTGTTGAAGTCAATTTGTTGAGATGAAACTGGCAAAACCAGAGAGTCACTAGAAGCCAATGATAAATACCTCAAGTCGCAAAATCCGTATTGCCCCAATATAACTTCTTTCTTTCTCTTGACCTACATATCGAAAATAGGGTTTCTTTGTTAAACAAGCTCCAGTCACTTGTTAAGTATCAGTCGTGCTTTGCTAAAACTTTCGCGGCTTAACAAAGAAAATCACGCCAACTAGCAAGGTACAATAGAGTAGCCATAAATAATAACGGTATGATTGGAGACAAGGATCCTTAGTGAATGCATTGTTAGGTAGTGGTAGGATGAATATTTTACCGCCCACCTATTAGCACTTGCAACCCATTCACATACCGTCATCGATTAAATCCGGTGCTGTTAGCTATGACAGCAAGATGAGCAGGGAGAACCCCCAGTAGCATTATAGCAAAGCTCGCATTATTTCTTTAATACAAGTTAATTTCAAAGATGGCACGCAACATGTATCAGTTACTGGCCGAGGGGTAAATCAACAGGTCCCAAAATAAGCTCTTGAAAGCGAACGGAGTTTTCAGGCCTAAACACCAATGCTGGACGAATGTTTCACGTAGCAATATGCACTATTGATAGTATCATTGTTTAGAAGTTGGGTCTGGCATCTTCCACTGCTGTTCTTTACTGTCAATTTAAGTCGCCACTTGCACTCTAACAACCACGGGCTATTGCCAGTGAGTTCGATATCGCAGTTCAATGAGGGCATTCAACAGGCGTTCACTATCTCAGTGGATTTACTAGTTGAAGGAACAAGGTTATTGGTGTCCGTCTGTGAGGATGGATGATACACTCCTCAAAACCCCTCATGAAGGGTGGAGTTGAGCGATCACGCAATTTCCGACCAATACTCTGACCGCCTCAATCACAATATTCTGGGGCCGCGAACATCTTCCGAGGTCATGAATTGGTTCACATTTTGAATCCATCCAGTTCTACGACCCTAGACGTTGGGCGAGCTGACCAACACCTCAAAGACAGCCATTGCGCCATCCCCCAGGGACGAATACCAACCCCCTAGAACCTGCCATTAACCCCTGGGCATATCGGGTGCCATCAAGGATGAGGATTCAAATCAATCTGAGCCAATTGCCGGCGGCACAACGTCCGGATGAGCCAGACTTTAACAATATAGAAGACTTTGACAATGCTTCCCGGGGTTTCATAGCAAAACTGGAACCATGCATTATTAGAGACGCCAAAGGCCACGTCGTGTGGGACAATGACGCATATGATTTCGTCAAAGAGGAATGCCCAAACACTGTCAATCCAAAGCTCTGGAGGCAGGCTCAGCTCACAGCCATCCAAGGCTTGTACGAGGTTTCGCCTGCTGTGTACCAGGTTCGCGGGTTTGACATATCCAATATGTCTATCGTCGAAGGCCAGAGTGGTATCATCGTCATTGACCCACTGACATCGATGGAGTGCGCTCAGGAAGCCTTGAAGTTTTACCGCAAGAATCGCGGGAACCGTCCAGTTACCGCCGTGATTTATTCTCACTCTCACGCGGACCATTACGGCGGCGCCCTCGGCGTTCTGCCAAAAGGCACCGGCAGTATTCCCATCATTGCGCCGGAAGGTTTCATGAAGGAAGTAACATCGGAGCATGTCCTCGCTGGACCATCAATGCTCCGACGAGCAGCTTTCATGTACGGCACTCGACTTCCAAAGCATCCACGAGGGCAAGTAGGCACCGGCCTAGGGATGGCTGCGTCCGCCGGGACCACGTCCATAATCCCTCCTAACACCTTGGTGACCAAGACCGGGCAAGAGCTTGTGATTGATGGCGTAAAGTTCGTCTTCCAGCTTGTTCCTGGGACGGAAGCGCCAGCTGAGCTGAATTTCTTCCTTCCTGACCACGAGGCCTTGTATATTTCCGAGTGTGCGACACACTGCCTGCACAATATCATAACCCTCCGCGGCGCATCCGTCCGAGACGCTAGAGCTTGGTCGCAATACCTGGATGAGACAGTCGAACTATACGGAGAACGATCGAAAGTTCTTTTTGCCGGGCATCACTGGCCAACGTGGGGACAAGACAAAATCAAGAAATTGGTTTCAGAGCAGCGGGATATGTACGCGTTCCTCCACGACCAAACTGTCCGGCTGATGAACAAGGGCTTGACCGGGACCGAGATCGCGGAAATCCTGGCCCTTCCGCCGAAATTACGAAGAGCGTGGCACGCCCAAGGTTACTATGGTTCCGTCAGCCACAACGTCAAGGGAATCTATCAGAGGTATATGACTTGGTTTGACGGCAATCCAGCCCATCTATGGCCTCATACCCCTTCTGAAGAGGGGAAAAGATATATAAGATGCTTCGGCGGCGTTGAAGAGTTAGTATCAAAGGCTCAGGTGTTCATCGACGAGGGGGATCTAAGATTTGCCGCCACGTTGTTGGACCATGCTGTTTCCGCAGAGCCGGACAATAGGCTGGCCGCGGAAACGTTGGCTTACGTCTTTGAGAAGATGGGGTTTGCCGCTGAGAATGCTACTTGGCGCAACTTCTTCCTCACGCGCGCAATGGACTTGCGAAACAAGAGTAAATCTCACCAAGCCATGGACACAACAATGGTCGGGGTGAGTTTAAACCCCGATGCAAGCATTGAGGACTGGCTCGACGCAATCGCCGTTTCCGTAGATGGACCCAGGGCTGCGGAGGAGTTTGAAGAGTCCCAGAGCATTCTGGTGCGCGTCCTCGAGTTAGAGAGCACATGGAAAATCACTCTCAGCAATGGAGCGATGACGTACCGATCATTTTGCAGAGCTGGGACTGGGGTGCAACAAGCAAATGACTTCGAGAGAATAAGGCCTGCGATTACGTTCCACACCAAAGAACAACTTCATGAGATACTTAGTGGAAAGGCCAACTTGTCGCAGTTCATATGTGAAGGACTTGAAGAACATCTCGTCCTTCAGCGGCTTCTGGAGCTGAGTGCGATCACTACATGACGGTGGTACTAGAGAACCATTGAAAGGTTTTCATATAATTAATCAATAAATGATTGAGTTTTCTACTTTCTTTGAAAATAAGAAATGATAACAGTATTAGCTAGAATTTGTCAGCTCTAAAATTACCATAAGAGACGTCTAAATAAGTTGCCCTTCGTATCAGCTGCTTCCAGATATCATAGCTAGAGCCCTGACCACGAGATGCTTGTCTAAGTAAGCCGCCAGCTATGGTAGTATTTCCAAATGACTATTCAGCTATGCCTACAACCCAGGTATCTTGAAGCATGCACGGGGGGCTACAAGATCCTGTCCGTCTCTAACCTCCTCTTCTAACCCTTGATCAATGAGGCACCTGTCCCCTTTCGGAGACAGGAGGAGGTATATCTTAGCTTGCTACCCCAGGTTCGATGTTTCTTCAGAGAACCTTCAGATATTGGGCCACCCAGCAGCCGTCGGAGACCGACGGAAAATAAGAAAAGTCCGGGCAACGATCGCACGGTGGCCTCGGTCCTTCGCGACATTGAATACCTCCGCCCGCATGCTCAACCCCAGATAGGGAAGTAGACCGTAGTATCTCCGCAAATCCTCCCGAAGCGGCCCCTCTTAGGTTCATACGCGCTTCCATCTGCCAGATCTCCTTTGCTTGGTAAGTGCCTGATATGTCGGTGGGTAAGGATATGTAAGCATTGATCTGCCGGTTTAGTCGCCTGTTTGAAGTGTTCAACTGCTGTTGGCTAGCGAGAGACAGAGAGCGTGACGAGGCGATGTGTCGACCCCCTGTATTGACTGCCACTATGGAATTGCCCTAGAATAGTTCTCTACCGGAGGGCTACAGACACATACGGCTGATCCAACAACCTTAGCGCATCTAGGGACCAGGTCATGAACTCCCAGACAGAATGACCCGGACTGAGGGCTGAGAAGTATGAAAGGATCTACGCTCGGTAATCTTGTCACTTAATCCTCACCCATTATGTGCCGGCGGTAGTTGTCGGATGACGAGCCTACGATTCACGCATGTCGGCAACAATGCTTTGGGCGAGCTCGCGATGTTACGCAGCAACTACCGTCCCCACAAAGTCGGGTCTTGCTGTTCGTCCGTCACCCGACGTCGAAAACACTATGGCTTCGAATGTCACTAACATAAATCGGCTCGACGACTGCTGTCTTCTTCGACGTGGCCTGGGAATAGACGACTATGGCTGTCTAGTTCCTCGGACCCTCGCCAGTTGTGATACTCGTCACTCTGTTCCGGTCGAGACCACTCATCACCTCAAAATGGCGACCTACTCTAATCTTTCGGTCTCGGTCTTTATATTTGCGGCGTTCCTTGTGAGATGAACACCTCTCCTTATCGAACGACGATTTCTCAGCTGACGTTGGCATCTCTCCGTGTAGTATGTAGCACATGTATTGCGAAGGCCAACTTCGAAAGTCCCAGGACCATGGTACTCGAAGTGGACGGGCATCGTCCTCCAATATCACTGGCTGAGGGGGCAGCGAACCTACTACATACACTCGCTGCATCAGCGCTATGGACCTACTGTCCGTCTGAGCCCTAACGAAATCGGCCTAGCTAGCATACACGACGTCAAGACCGTTTACCACCTACGGGAGACGTATGTGAAGTCGTCCTTCTATACAGATGTTACCGTTTCGTCGCAGCCGAACATGTTCAATACTCCCAACGTCCAATACAATAGGAGGTTACGAAGGCTATTGGGAGGCCCCATGTCGGATTCAGCCATCAGAGGCGTAGAGCCCATAGTTGTGGAATTAGCTACGCTAGCTATCCAGCGGATGGGGGAGGAAATCAGTAGACGTGGTGCCGTCGACGTCCTGAAATGGTGGACTTCTATGGCTACGGACGTGATTGGCACACTCACATTTGGGGAGTCTTTTAGGACTCTGGAGCAGGGAAAAGTCAGTGTTTCTCTTCCTTTAAGGAGAATGAAAAGATCTCCCGCTAACCAGCGTTCCGTGCAATAGCCATCAGCCTATACCCGGGATCTTGCTCAAGTCGGCCCGGTGGCTGGGCTCAGGGCTACGTTCCCTTCCCTTATTCCGCTCACCGATTACATCCCTATTCCCTTCCTGAAGGCGGCTAGGGATGCCACACATAGAATCATGCAGTATTCGAGGGAATCTATACAGCGTTATCAGAATCTCCTTGATTCCGACTCATCCCGAGCGCAACATACGTTCTTCTCCAATGTCTTCAAGGCGGCGGACGATGATAAACTGACCTCGGATGAGGTTTGCGCCGCAGCCCTGACCTACATCGTTGCTGGCACCGACACGACGGCCAACAGTCTGACTTACCTGACCTGGAGTGTTTGCAGGAACCCGAAGATGAAGGCGAGGCTTCTCGACGAACTTCAAAGCCTACCTCAGGACTACTCTGACTCGCATTTGCGGAAGCTGCCCTTCCTAAATCATCTCATTGATGAGACCCTAAGGCTGTACTCGGCGGCACCAGCGAGCCTACCGCGTGTAGTACCTTCGAATGGCGCAGAACTGGGAACATATTGGGTTCCGGGAGGAACAGTCGTTTCTGCACAGCCCTACACCATGCACCGAGACCCGATTGTTTTCCCTCGCCCGGAGGAGTTTAATCCCGAGAGGTGGGAGACCGTCACGCCGGACATGAAAAGTCACTTTATGCCGTTCGGGCGAGCTGGAAGAAGTGAGTGAAACGAACACAAAGTGACGAGCATATCACGCTGACCATGGCATAGTCTGCATTGGGATGCATTTGGCTTATATGGAGCTTCGTCACGGTGCGGCCAAATTCTTCTTGGAATTTCCCAATGCCACCATTTCCAGCAAAGAAGGCATGAGTGATGAAGAAATGACGCCGGAAATCTTTTTCCTCCTGGGGCCCAAAGGGCATAGATGCCTCATAGAAAGCGAAGGACGGCTGTGATCGAAATGCAGCTGCGTCGCGGCTCAACAATACATATATATATTACTATATTTGTTAATGATAAAGCATGCACCGTATACCACTTATGACTATCTCGAACTCTATTACCGTACCTATTGGGCGCAAGGATCTAAACTAGATACTTAGAATGGGACTATGTTTGCCTCCCAGAACATCTCGCCTTGAGCATACTGAGTTGTTAACGGCTGAACCAAGTCAATCTCGCACCCTTTCTTCACAGGTTCTCCGTGAAACCTGGCATCCAGCCATGCTTCAATATCAGCACGGCCTGCCTCGAGTACCTGGCCGTGGCCCATGTCCGGGTATAATTTGGCGGAAGCAGGACTCTTCGGATAAGTCGAACATGTGAGATTGAAATCCTCCATCGTAAGTGATGCTGGCGTGATCGTGTCAGTGACACCTTGGACGACCAGGAGTGGCGTTGAAAGGGGATGTGGACCTTGGCCGTTGAAACGGACTGCCCAGTCATTGGTTACTGGGTGCGTGAGCCAGCTCTTGTTCGTGAAGATTTCGTCTGGGCTGAGACTTCCCACGGCAGCAATCCCCGTTTGGAAACAAGAGTTGTCAAGCACAGAAAGACGCCGCAGGGCTGTGTTGGTAAGATAATCACCAAGTTTAATCTGCTCGGGGAAGAGGCCAGCAAGGGATTGAAGAAAGTAGACCGAAAAGGGCCCCCCTCCGGTCTTGGTTCGTTCCCATGATGTAGGAATCAATCTTTGTGGTCGCAGAGCTGGAGCAGCAGCAACGCCACCGACAAATTGGCCAGCTTTGAGCAGTCTCTCTTGTCCAGGTAGGCTCAAACGCTCGACGGTACGCCATGCTGTCATGCCACCCTCGCTATGGCCAAATACAGCCCATTTATTACTGAGAAATGCCCCCAGCACTTTTCTAGCCGCGATAACAGCATATGCCACGTCGGCAACATGGAGAAACCCAGACTCGTACATGAAGCCCTGAGGGAGATCGGAGCCTTGGCCAGCATAGTCAGGCCCAATGACGGCATATCCAGATTCAGCAAGGATAAACGGCGCTTTCCAATCGTAGTACAGCCCCTTGTTATTGGTTGTCGAGCAAAGGCGACTTCGTCCGGCGGTCCCGTGCGTCCAGACTACGGTACGTAACTTGCCCGGTTCATTTGGTGTCGGGAGTGTATGGTGATACGGCAAGAGTACCCATCCAGTGGCGGGAATTGTCTTGTTGTTGATATCTTCTGTTGCGTACATGAATCGGTAAAACGAGAGACCAGCGGGAATAGTCCAATTCTGGGTGAGCTGCTTGTAGGGAACGTTCTCCCATCTGAGGATGTCGCCAGGCTTGGCTGTTGAGATATTCGCCGGTGTGGAGTAAAACTCATCGCTAACAATGTCGCTCACCCACAGCCTAGACTCAGCCTGATAGGTTGACTCAATGGCGTTTTGGCATTCAGTGTCACAACTCTTTTGGCATTCTGAATCGCAAATAGAGTTTTGCTGGGCAAACGCTACCCCAAGAAAGACATAGATAAAGAAAGTAAAAAGAAGCATGTTGAACACAATGGATACGGAAGTTCAGTGTGCCACTGTCAAGCCTTGGGCGTCTGTGGAATAGTTTTATGATTTACAAAGCTCCCCTCTTAATAATATATAAGGAAAGTCAGAAGGTTCCGAGGTCGTTTTATAATAAACCCAGCCTCTCATTAAGAGTACAGAGCATCGGAACCTATTCCTTCCATTGGTACTGTCTCGGAACAAGTTTCTTTGGTTCCGAATATTGAGGGGTAAGTAGCGTCAGAATGAGGAAGAAACCCGGTATTGTACTGGGAAAAGCAGTCTCTAGATCTCCGTTATCTTCTGCGGTACTAAACCAAGTCGCTTAGACTGAGTGCCAGCCCATCAAAAGAACTTTAGAGTAGATATTTGTCGACCAAAAGATAGTCACTTACAGACCTTAGTGCTGGATTTGAGGCGTCAGCATCTTTTTTATCTACGCGTTTTCTTTCGAACAACGGATAATACTGTACTTCACTAGCTAGTGATTATGCGCCGTAAAGTTTAAACAAGGTTTTCTTGTCCAAACATTTTATGCGCAACAGAAAGCTATTCACGATGTCGAGGTGAATGCCGTCATTGGTACCGTCTCGGGGGTTGGCCTGGAGCATCTTGACAAGATCCTCTCTCGCACAGCCACCTCCGCTGCACTTATCAGTGTAGCACCCATTGCTCACAATCTCAAGCGGAGGTATAACCCAGTTGGGAAGGAGAGCGATTGCGGTATGAGGCAGCGTGTAGATCTAGGCTATATAGGGTTACGTTCTTGGAAAACTAGTCGTTCGATAAAACATATTATCTGCCTATTTGTGGCGTGGCCAACAAATAACAGGGAGACAGCGACATACAGCGACATACTCGACCAGAGACGAGATAACAACTAGAACCAACTAAGACCTATACGCGGATCTCGGTATTCGATATGCCCTGGTCGAGGAGGGGTACTTTCATCCGCTTTTAACCCTTTACGATGAAACATGCCGAGGTTAGCAAGAATGACCACCTCGAGGGAAGCGTAATGATGCGGACTCCGTGCTTGATTCGCTACCTATAACTTTCCACCCGCTCTAATCAATGCAAGGTACAATTCCAATAATGGAACCAATTGATAGAACGCTACGTCTTCAACTAGGAGCCTATCAGAGTCCATTTTCGCTTGGATGGCCAGATAAGTGGTAGAGAAATGTAGAGGCAAAAGTTGGGCATATCGAAGAGAATACGTACGCGTTCATAGTCCGCAGAAAGAAATACGTGTATTTTTGGGGCCAGCGGCAAGGTGGCTGAAGTTATGCTTGAGTGATTAGCTACGGAATCTCCCATGCCTACAGGAGCTCCACAGTCAGCCAGGCCATTTCCCATATCAACTTGATTGTAATTACCGATGAACCGAGCGCTGAGAAGAGAATGTTTTTAACTCATATCTTAATAACTTCCCCGCCTTCTCCCTATTCTCTATTAAAGCTACTGATCCGAATTTGCCCTAACATATATACTATTAAGTTTAATTGATTACTACATATAAGAGACATAGTAGTCTGCTGATAAGGATCTTGAATTAGTACACACACAAATACTCTTGTTGAATATATAAGGGTTAATACGTAAGAGAAAGAGTATAAAGTTCAACAGCAATAGAAGATGCCAGGGCCCGGCAACTCAACACAATGAGTAACAGTTCATCTTTTGTATTCATTGAGTTGAGTTGTCGGGCCCAGGCAGCTTCCATTACTGTGAAGCTTTATTTTCTGTCTCCTACATATGACTCACAGCTAATGGTCTACTGGTAGTTCACCACTTGATTGACTGCTTGATTCGCTGCTTGGCGTCCAAATAGGAACTTTGCGTGTCTCTGTTGCTGTGCTCAAGACAGTGACAGAGTAGTGGCTAGAATTCGAAAGCACAGTGGATATGCGCGGACCCTCTCCCCAATCCCCCTGACTTTATATTAGTAGATCATTCTAGTTGCTCGAAGCCCGAGATGGTCACAGAAAGCTGAGTGAGCCTAAAAGGCCGATTTGTAGTCCAAGAAGGTGGAGGAAGGTGTTAAAGAGTGCTCTCCGGGCCTCTTCAACCAGAGAGGCAGTTTATTAAGTTCATCTCTGGATACAGAAGAAAGAAGTGTTTTCTTTGTGGAGAAGCAGCGAGGTAGCTGCTTTTATAGGGCTTTATGCTTGGCAGGTCTTGAGGGTTCCTAAACCCTCAAGCAACCGGGATTACTCTTCTCTGGCCACGTAACCCTAGCGGAGCTCTTTGTAGGTGTAGCCTGTAACAGAAGGATTTCGAAAATGAATCTAGGACATCGGAAGCACCTCATCAATCTCCGTTGGGCGCTTTTCTAGCTTAGGATCCACCATAGCCTTGACCGGCTGTGTTTGTGTGATTGTTATCGGATGCTCCGCACATCGAGTGCAAACAGATGTGACGGTCGTTGAAGCTAGGCTAGTAAGGGCCTATTGTAATTTCAATTTGAAAGAAAAAGACCACAGAAGGAACAAGAAAACCAATGCAGAGTATCTACTTGACTATGACAGTTTCGCAAAGAAGAATGAACGCAAACAACCACGGCTCCCCGTAAAATAAGTTCCCTGACCACCCTTATGGATTCACCCGCCCTCTTGGGATTTAATCGCCCAAGTCTGAGTTACTCCCAGATTATGGTCACAGAACATTGACTATGGCCCTTGCCATGGTTTTCCTTGGGTGAGCTTACTTGGCAGCATTAATAAGCGGAAAGACGAGCGAGAAATGGCTCCGCTTCGCCGCTGATAATACCTGTTGAAAGGCTCAACCCTTACAAATGAGGACCCAATCCCCGCGACCCATGCTCCTAGACTCCTAGTTCCTCTGTCATCTTACGTCAGGTTGATCGTAGACATGGATAGATAGAAGAATGTGAAACATGAAAATAACTCACAGGCAGTTTTCCCTCTGGTTTCCCCTCTTTTTGCCCAGGATTTGAGACCACAAGCTCACTGAAAAATGCCTCCCGTCGAAAGCAGTCTTATTTGCATCGTCCACGGTGGATGGCATCAACCACTGCACTACCGCCATCTCATTGAGGCCCTCACCGCCAAAGGACATACCGTGGTGTGTCCCCAGCTTGCGACTTCAGGCTACGATGACGCCGTCCAGAAAAAGAATTATCACGATGATGTTGCACGCGTACACGAATCACTTTTGCCGTACCTTGATCAAGGGCGTAAGGCTGTGGTCATTGGGCACAGTTTCGGTGGCATAACCGCCACCGCCGCGACCTCGGGTCACACCGTTGAGGAGCGTACAGCCAAGGGGCTCTTGGGCGGGATCTCGTCTTTGATCTACATCTCAGCGTATCCTGATCATACCAAACCCATCTTATCATGTGCTTTGGCCGATCCAGAGAAACCCGTGATTGACGTGAGTCTATTCGAAAAGCATGGGAACGAGATAAGATATACTGACCGTAGAAGCCTGTAACGCAAATTTGGACGCATCAAGGCGCAGCTGAAATACTGTATCACGATTCTGATCCCGACAAGCTGCAGCCTGCCCTGGCCCAGCTTTTACGTCTCAGTGGCAAGGCGCTGACGTGCGAACCCATCTGCACAGCTCCGCAGGTGAAAACTGACAAGTATTTTCTCGTCAGCAAGAATGACCGTATTATTCCTGCCGACTACCAACGAGAGTGTGCAGAGTATGCCGGGGCAACCATCACTGAGTTGGACTGCGGTCACTCTGCGTTTCTTCGTAGTACAGAAGTCGAAAGGATTGTTGACTTTGTCGGAGATGTGCTAGGTAAAGCTAAATAGATCTAGACTCTAATTTCCTACCGTATTCCCTGCACCCAGGACCGACAGTCCAGGCGTGCCGTGAGTAGATAGATTCTATAGGGGGTCCAAGCTTCATCTCGCTGCCAGGATACACAAGAATCCCAGCGTGAATGCAAGCACGTTCAAGCTCTCACTATCGTCCAAAGAAGAGCAAAATGCAAAGATAACGCTGGTGTAGCTTCAGTGGAATGGCGTTGTATAGTTCATATCCAGAATACTATTCAAGGGCACCATGTTAATCAATGGTCTTAATGAGCCGAATTATTTTATCAGCGTCTAACTCGTCAACTCTGCATTATTTTCTTCAGCAAAATTTTGAATTCTAACATCGTAGCAACAGCAAATACTATAGATCACAGGAGCGGCAATACCATCCCGTATACTCATTTTTGCTTACCTATCTTTCAGCGACAAGAAGCTACCTCGGATCTACACAAGAGTCGCATTGAATACTAAAAAAAAAACAAGAAAATATACAACAGCAGGTATTCGCTGGTTATCACCGACCTAACTACTAATCCACCCCTCGTCCGTTTAACTAGGCGAGAGCGAACAGGGTTTCTTATTGAGTTCAGGTATAGGGTTTCTCCGGAGTTTATATCTTTATCCGTGTAGCGGACTAGCCCTATAGCAGCTGCGAGTAGGCGTTAACTTTAGTATCTATATTCTTAAGGAGGGAAAGAGAAGGCTCCTAGAAGGTCTAGTTCTTTCCCCTTATATACTGCCTATAGTAGCCTAACCGGGGTTAGCCTACTATAGCTATCTTTTATCAGACTAAGCCTAGGATCTTACTAGGCCTAAGTCCTTAATAATCTGACTTTAATACTAGGGGGTTTTCGGGATAATACCGGAAGATAATAATATAAATATAGCTATATCTGTTTTTTTTTTTAGCTATAAATAAGGGTCTGGTTAATCCTAAGATTAGATAATATATAATCTAACTATATAATTTTTATTAAGAATATAATTAATAGTTTATATTTAAACCTTTAATATTATAAGGAAAAGTTTAAATATTATATTTTTAGTCTGGATATAAATATTAATCTTATAAAACTCTACTAATAGAAGTTATTTAATAGCTAGATATAAAAACCTAGTTATAACCTCTAAGAGAGGAAGCTATTATCTAATAATAATAATTACTTTTTCTCTTTAATTTAAAGCTTATTATAATTAATTAATTAATTATATCTTACTATTAATTACTTAATTATATAATTAAATAACTAATTAATTAATTATATTTTTATTATTCTAAGATAGCTATTCTTATAGCTATTATTAAAAACTTAGATCTAATAAAATCCTAAGCTTAATCTAATAAGAAATAGTTATAATAAGCTAACCCTAGTTAGATTACTATAAATAGTATATAAGAGAAAAGAATTAAATCTTTTAAAAATCTTTTCTTTTTCTTCTTAAGAATATAGATACTAAAGTTAATATCTACTTATAGCTATTATAAAGCTAGTCTATTATAATCTATATTCTTTATCTCTTAAATAATAATAAATAATCTTAATATACTAGGAGTCTCTAGCTATAAAGAAATAATATTAGTTACTAGATTAAATCTACTATTATTAACTAGAGGGTTATAAACTAATCTAATAGGATTTTAAAATAAGATTAGAAATTAAATATAACTAATATAAATATAATAATTTAAGTTTAAAGAAATATTTTAAATATTTCTATAATTATAAAACTAACTTATATAGCTCTAGTAATAACTATAGTAGTTT